AAAAACATGTGAATGAAATAGACAGTAGAGCCATTTATAATACTGCCTTTGAGAGAGAGCTACTATTAACTGTGTTTAATTGCTTTAATTTGCTTTTTTTGATAATTAGAATGGTTGAACATTTATGTTTGTTAGTTATATAATTTCCTCTTGTATGGATTTTTTATATTAAGGACCTTAGTCCTTTGCTGTTTGTCTTTAAATTTTTTTTGTATAATATACCCCTCTCCCCAAGTTATTGTTTTTGATATTTTTGGGTACACAGATGTTAAAAATTTTTTTGTAAACCTGTCAGTACCTTTGCTTTTTTTTTTTTTACATTTGGGAAGTTATGTTTTATTCAGAGATAAAATAGTGATCTATATGTGAAAATGTTTAAAAAAATATTAACTCTTTGATTCAGATGGTGTTTGTTTTACAGCATAATATGAAGGAAAATCTTACTTGGCATTCTTTCCATATACTGATGAGTGTTTATGCACAAATGTTAGACAAAGAATATTCCAGGCAGATTTAACTCAATTATAGTAGATGCTGGAGAACACAGAGTAGTGTGGATTTCTTGTTGAAAATAGGATGTGTGAAGGAAAATTTAAGATTGGAAAGATAGGTTAAAATATAAATGGGGAATGCCTTTGATGCCAGATTATAAGTTAAAATTTGTAGTCAGAATTTTGAGCGGCTAAATATCCTTAAAATGAACTTTTTCAGTCACAAGACTCCTTTGGCTGCAAGCCAGAGAAAACCTAACTCAAAGTGATTTAATTTAAGCAAAAATAACTTAAAAAGAAGAAATTTTATGGGTTCATGTGAGTAAAAAACTCAGAGATAGTACTAGCTCCAAGTGCTAACTTGACCCAGGAGTTCTGATGATGTTCTTGGGTGGTTTCTCTCTGTCTCTTGACCTTCTTGTCTTCCCCATTGGCATCTTTTTCAGGTTCCTAGTAGTGGCCCCTCACATCTCTGGATTTATATCCTCTTAAGTCCAAGTTTGGAAGAAAAAAGCGCCTGTTCTTTGCAAACCCCTAAGTTGACTTGATTGGATGTATCGATTCACTCTGGCTTCAGGAAAAGTGTGATTATGATTTGCTGGAAGGTGGCCTAGTCTGCCCCAAACTTATCAGTGTTGGTAAGGGAATTCAGGTGCTCTCTTAGGCCAGGCTTGGGTCACATGGCCTCCCCCTGGAGTCAGGAATAGAACCCCTAGAAACCAGACAGTCTAGATGTTGGGGAGGGGCGGTTTCTCAAAGAAATTCAGGGCATTAGAGGAATTGCAGGTGTATTAGTCAGGTTAGGCTGGGTTATGCTGCAGTGACAAGTAACGCCAACATTTCAGATTCAAAACTTACTACAGACAGCTGTAACCAAAGTTTATTTCTGACTCTTGCAAAATCTGCTGGGGACTCTGGCAACTCTCCAGGGCAGTCAGCTCCGTGTGGCAGCCTAGCCTTCCAGGCTTCTTTATCTTGTGTGATAGACACATGTGTCCACAGTAGGCACAGTGGGAGAAGGGAGTGTGCCCCACTCCGGCTGCCCAAGATCTATTGGCTAGAGCTGACCAGGGCTGGGGGTGGGGAGTTGGGGGAGGATTGTAATCCTTCCCCTGTGCCTGGAAAGAGGGACCAGCTGGATGGGAGTAACATGAGATGGCACAGCCACGCTGGGCAGGCACAGACAACTGGTGCCCATGACCATCACTTACCCCAGGCAGCCTGTGGGGCCTCGGTTTGACATACCCATCACTTACACCCTCCTGTCCTTATCTGATGGTTCCTGGGATGATGCTGAGAGCAGTGATGAGTTCAGTAAATTTCTAGAGGTCTCCGGCGCTGTGTGCCCAACGGCTAACTGACAGTCACAGCACCTTTCTGAAAACACAGGACCGTCTCTTGACACGACTCAGGCCATGGGTTTCTGCTGGGCACTATCTCCACACACTGCTCTGTGATAGACAGTGCTGGCCCTGCCAGGTAGAGGCTTCTGTGAGGGTAGAGTCAGTTAGTTTTCCTGAACTTTAAAGGAGCCAAAGTGCTTGGCAAAAACTTGACCTCCCAAGCTCAGATCGTTACATAGTTTAAATATGTTTCCCCGGAAGAGTTGGACAATGTCTGACTTCTATACCAGAATGAAGTTCTGCCATCTTTCATGTTCTCTCTCTCTGAGTAGTAAAGATAAAATTTAGGCAAGGAATGGTATTCTTATATGGTGTTTTTGTTTTTGTTTTTGTTTTTGTTTTGAGACAGAGTCTCACTTGTTGCCTGGGTTAGAGTGCTGTGGCATCAGCCTAGCTCACAGCAACCTCAGACTTCTGGGCTCAAGTGATCCTTCTGCCTCAGCCTCCTGAGCAGGTGGGACTCAAGGTGTGCATCACCACGCCTGGCTAATTTTTTTCTATTTTTAGTAGAAACGGGGGTCTCGCTCTTGCGGAGGCTGGTCTCAAACCTCTGACCTCAAGCAATCCTCCTGCTTCAGCCTCCCAGAGTGTTAGGATTACAGATGTGAGCCACTACGCCTGACCATGGTGGTCTTAAAAAAATAAAAAATGGTGCAGCAGCTATGGAAAACACCAGGTTAGCTCCTCAAAAAATTAAAAATAGAATCACCGCAGCATTCAGCTATTCCACTTCTGGGTATATAGTCAAAAGGCTTGAAAACAGGGACTTGAGCAGATATTTGCATGGCATGCTCATAGCAGCATTACTCACAACAGCCGAAAGGTGGAAGCACCCAAGGGCCTATCGATGGATGAATGGATAAACAAAAGGTGCTATAGACATATGATGGAATCTTATTAAGCCTTAGAAAAGGAAGGCGATGTTGACACTTGCTACATCATGGACGCACCTTGAGGACATCGCGCAGAAAGACTGTATGACTCCACTTCTGTGAGGTACAGAGAGTGGTCACAGTCACAGAGACAGAACGCAGGACGGCGGTTGCTGGAGAAAGAAGGGGGATGGGTTGTTTGGTGGGTATGGAGTTTCAGTTTTGCAAGATTAAAAGAGTTCCGGAGACGCTTGGTGGTGATGGTAGCACAACAAGGAGAATGTACTGAATGCCACTAAATTGCACACTTAAAAACGGTTAAGATGGTACATTTTAGGTGCATTTTAGAACAATTAAAACCACAAAAACCCAAACCAAAACAGACAGCTTACAGGTTTTCCCCACGCGTTGGTCACGGCACTTGCCAGTGCTCTGTGGGGTCACAGATGGAAAGCTGGGAGGTGCTGAGTGTGCCGGGGGTCCCCAGCGAGCCACGCTGCCTGATGCAAGGTGCGTCCAGCCCAGCGGGGCCGCGTGGGAGCCCAGGTCAGGGCTGTCTCCCCGTTCCTTTGTCCTGACTGTGTAGTGCTGCTGTCATCGTCCATTATGTACAAAAGGAATTCACTTTCTAAATTTGTACCCATTTATGCTCTTGTTTCTGCTTTGCGAAAAAGCATAACTGATGAATTAGTCAGGGGGAATTCAATTTATACTTTAGAGTCTAAAGTTTAGACAGACTGTCTCTCTTTCTTATGTCTGGTTGGTTCTTTTCATTTGTCTTGTAATCATTCATGTTTGCTCTTAACTTTTTTATGTGATGGCTGCACAGGGAGTTGAGATCCTTTAAGCCTGTGATGCTGCTCCTCGTGTTTATTTTGAGGATGACAAACATCCACGCTTTCAGGCGATGCTGTTCATGTGATTAATGTGCCTTGGGCGCTCACGGCAGCAGGGGATTCCGTGCAGCTTTTGGGGATGTGCTGGTCGTCGTGATTTTCCATCGTAGCAGTTTCTCCTTGAGGGCTTCACGTCGTCGTCTCAAGTAATAGAAGGGGAGGTAGACTTTCTAGCCAGCACCACTTCCAAATATAAACTTCTAATTAAACAGGCTGTTTGAACCTCCCTTGGAAAGGTCATTTGTGAAAGTGGAGCTTTTGGTCACCCTGTAAGCGATCCCGCCTTACTGACATCATATGGACAACCACGTGTGGTCAGATTCAGAAAATAGCATCCTTCGCAGTGGCCTATTGATCACGTAAGGCCAGAAGATTTTTGGTATTAGATACTGAAGCTTCTACCCTTCCCTAAGACCAGCTCTTGTGAACTATCTGCCTCCAAGCTTTAAAAAATATTATTGTCTGTTTACCATCCTCAGATCTGTCTTATTTGCAAAAGAAAAATAAAGGCCATGGTTATTGTCTCATTGATTTTGGCAAAAGCAACTAATGAAGAAATGGAAGTGTTGGTGGATCTTGACTGGATTTTCTTTTCCTTTTGCTCTTCTCTTTTTTAGAGACAGGTTCTTGCTTTGTTGCCCAGGCTGGGTACAGTGGCACAGTCATAGCTCTCTGTAAGCTCAAACTCCTGGGCTCAAGCAGTTCTTCCATCTCAGCCTCCTTAGTAGCTAGGACTACTGTCACACCCAGCTAATCTTTTAGTTTTTGGTAGAGGTAGGGTCTTGCCATGTTGCTCAGGCTGGTCTCGAACTCCTGGCCTGAAGTGATCCTCCCGCCTCAGCCTCCCAAAGTGCTAGGATTACAGGTGTGAGTCACCACGCCTGGCCTAAATATTCTTTTTCAGTAACAGTTTTATTAGGATATGATTTATATACCATACAATTCACCCATTTAAAGTCTCCTTGTGTGTTGGTTTTTAGTATATTCATAAGAGATGTTCAACCGTCACTATCACCACAATTTTAGAATATTTCCATCACCTCCCCCCAAAAACAAATTCTATACCGATTAGTAGTCACTTCCCACTTACCCCGACCCCCCAGTCCCAAGCAACCACCAATCTGCTTTCTGTTTCCATGGCTTTGTCATTTCTGTACTTTTCACATAAATGGAATCATGGCGCACGTGGTCCTTTGTGGTTGGGTTCTTTCACTCTGAATATTTTCAAAGTGAAACAAATTACTCTTATATTCTCATTTATTCATTTTTTTTTTTTTAGAAATCATACTAACCCTTATTTATTATATAGTATAATGTATTTTTTTTCTTTCCTTCCAGAATTGGTTCCTTCAATTATGAGCAACTTGTTGAATCCAGATGCCATTTTCTCCAACAATGAAATGAGCCTGTCAGACATTGAAATCTACGGCTTCGATTACGATTACACCTTGGTGTTTTATTCAAAGCACCTCCACACGCTGATATTTAATGCTGCCCGGGACCTTCTCATCAATGAACACCGGGTAAGATCACAGGGACCATTCAGTCCCCTCCCTCCCACTTTCCTCTTAGAACAACCTTGAGCTGACGTGGCCCCATGCCCGGTGCAGAGAAATTGTTCAGTAAATTGTTGCTCAATGAATGAGTAGATTTTGTTCCATTCTAAATTTTCAAATGCCTCTTATCAGGAAAATAGTTTTTTTTTTTTTTTAAATCCATAGATGTCTCTCTGGCCAAAGACTGTCCCAGGTCCGCATTAGTGGAGGTGCGGCTGGAGATATTTACATTCTCCTGTTTCACAGAGCAGCAGCAGCTTCTCCCAGAGCGTGACAAAGTGGCAGCCTATTGCATTGTGGTTGGGAGAAATTCCTCAAACGATAGGCAATGCTTTACCCTCAATACTGGTTTGAATTGGGAAGAGTAAAGAATATTTGAATGTCTAGTAAAGCACAGTAACACCGAGAGCTTTTAATGAGGAAGGACAAAAAGAAAACACTCAACGCTGGTGTTCTTTTCTCTGGTCTGGTTGGGGCACACATTTTAGGAGTCAGGATGAAAAGCAACCTCAGAGGTCCTGTGATTAGTGTCCTTTGAGAACCCCCAGAGCAGCCTGAGAACTACAGCTCGAATCTCCATCTCGGACAGGAGCACCTTACCCCAGGAGGCCGTTCTGGCTTCTGGAAAGTTCTTCCATGGGTTGAACAGTTCTGCCTTCACCACTGGTCTTTTTTCTTCCTTCATCCATTCCTTAAGCCTTTAGTAAGTGCCTCATCTGCGCCCAGCCCTGCGGTAGAAGCAGGGAGGAGGAAGGAAGGTGAGTGGGAGACAGGCATTGCCTGCGGAGAGCCAGCAACCTTGTGTGTGGGGGGTCGGTCACGTGGGGGCTAAATCATGAAGCCTCCTGGGGGAGGCCTCTATAGACACCCAAACGGAGAGCTAAGGATGCACAGAGCGTGGTTGGAACGACTCTGCCTGAGGGAACTGGAGAAACAAGTAAGAAGTGATATTTCAGCCTCCTCATGAAGGAGTTTGCTGGCAAAGGTGGGCAGGGGTGGGTGGGTCTGGGTAACCTAGAAATGCACATCACGCAAACTAATGTTTTCTTCCTGACTGTCTGCGTGCCAGACACATCACGGGCTGGTGTGGAGACCAGCCCATCATGCCCTCCAAGTCGTCTTCTTTTTTCCCAGGCTGATCATTATTAGCTGTTTTAACCATTTTCGTTCGTCTCTTTTCTTTTTGTCATCCTGGTCGCCCTCCTTGGTGTGTGCCCTGGTGTGTCCCTCCCAAATGGGAGGCCTTGAACTGACGGTGCTACCACAGGTGGGGTCTGAGTCAGCATGGAATATAGGGAGACCATCACCTCCCTGGTTCAGGATATCATACTTCTGTTAATACAGCCAAAGTTTCCATTAGTTTTGGATCCTGACCATTTGATCCAGTATGTATTTTCTGATCCCCCTCAGCTTTTGGTTATCAGTGGATCTAAGCAACTTCTTTTGTCCTTATTTAAAATGCAGAAATGGTATTTGCCAGAAGAACCTTCCCTTCTGCCACTAAGCCAACAGCCAGCTTTCTTTAGTTATGGCCCCTTTACCAGAGCTAAAACCCCCAGCCACCTGCCATCCAGCAGCAGGTCTTCATTTGCTCAGGAGACACCCCCTTCCCCCAGTCTAAACTGTGGTCCTTTCCTGGGATTGAGAGATGCAGGCAGACAAAGAACGAGGTGCTTCTGCCCTTGCTTCCCGTCTGCTACCCCAGGCTGTCTCTTCACCGCCCCCGTGGGACATGCTGGGACATGGAGCTGAAGGGGTGTTGCATTGGTGCTGGCCTTCTAGGCCCAGGTCAGCTGCGGTGTTTTCTGTGACTTTGATGCCACCTATGGAAAGCAGGTCAGGATCCTGACTGCACTGCGCATCCATTGCCTCCTAGGTGCTGAAAGCACAGGTTCTAAGCCTGACTGCTGGGACTCAAATCCTGGCCTCCACCACTTATTTCCTGTGTAATCTTGATCAACTCACCCAGTTTCTCTGGGCCTCAGTTTTCTCCTTTGTAAAACGGACATAGTAACAGTGCTTTTTTCATAGTGTTATTGTGATAACTAAATGATTTAATATATTAATATGTAAAGTGCCTGGCACATAGAAAACACTCAATAAATATTGGCTGTATACTAACATTGTTATTTTTAATCTACACGACAACTCCACACGTATATGTCATCCCTGTTTTACGGTTGAGGAAACTGAGGCTCATAGAGTTACGCTACTAGATCAAGGCCACAGGCCAGTGGGAGCCAGAACCAGGATTTCAACTCAGATCTGCCTGTTTCCAAGAGACTTGTGTACTCTCCTGTATTCCATGCGGCCTCTTGTAGGGTTGGTAACACCTCTCCATCCTATGGGTTTTTTGTTCAGATGAAAATAAAATATTCATGAAAATAAAACATTTATGAACATAAAAAATTTATGAAATTTAGGGGGAAGAGAGATAAAATAAAAGGTGCAATCATTATGATTAGAAAAGCCTCTAGATTTAAGATTACTGAAATTTCATTCTCATTATGTCTATTTGTTGCTTTGATAAAAGAAATATTATAATACTAATTATATCAGGCATATTATTAGTGTCAATTATGCTTATGCAGATTTTTTTCTCTTGCTCTGATTTAACAAAATAATTATTCCAAGATGCACTGAGTTCAGTGCCATTTTTTCTGGCTGAGACTGAATGTACTTTATGTACTTGTAGAGACAGAAAGACATCTGCTTTTGAGACACACAGTAATAGAACAGTAAATCTGCTATTTAGCATCTTTCCAAAAAGCAAATGTAAAAGTTCCAGCTCCTTCATAATTACCCTTTTTTACAAGAATAATTTTTTTTACAAAAATGGAAATTAAAAAAATTGGGTAATAACCGGATCTATATCTTCATTTCCTGTGTCCACCAAGGAACAGGAAGGGACTGGTAGAAGAGCTCTGGATTTCGGCTCCCAGATTCACACCTTTATTCGCATTCTCTTCTCATTAGTTGGCACTGACGACCACCTGGTTGTTCAGATCCCAAGGGTGCCATCAGCTGTGAGCCCTTCACTCTGCATCCCACATCTGATCGCTCTGCAAATGCTGTGCATCCTCTCTTTAAAATTTTTAGTTTAAGGATAGTTTTAGGCTTATAGAAAAGTTGCAAAGAGTTCCTATATAAATTCTCCTAATGTTAACATTTTACATTACTGCAGTACATTTGTCACAACTAAACAACCAATATTGGCCAGGTGTAGTGGCTCACACCTGTAATCCCAGAGCTTTGGGAGGCTGAGCTGGGAGGGTGGCTTGAGGCCAGGGAGTTGGGTGACCAGCCTGGGCAACATAGCGAGACCCCATCTCTACAAAAAATAAAAAACTTAGCCAGGCATAGTGGGTGCTCACTTTAGCCCAAGAGTTCAGGTTACATTGAGCTATGAATGTGTCACTATATTTCAGCCTGGGTAACAGAATGAGACCCTGTCTCAAAAAAAGAAAGAAAAAATTGGTACATTGTTATTAGCTCAAGTCCATACTTTATTCATATACTTTTAGTTTTTACCTAATGTCCCTTTTCTGCTCCAGGTTCCCATCCAGGACACCACATTACATTTGCTTGCCCCAGACAGCCTGAGGCTTGCTCCTTGTTTTCTCTTTTTTTTAGATTTGCGAGCCCTCATACTGCATTGTCTTCATAGAAAACGCGCTCTGAGGCATCATACTCTGCATGTGTGTATGTGTTTGTGGTCTGCCTTCCTGCGCTAGAGTGGAAGCTTCTCAGGGACGGAGACTTCCTCAGTTTTGTCCACTGCCGTATTCCCAGCCCTGGGCAAAGTGCAGGTCCAATAAGCACTTGACATTCGCATCGGTGAATTCTGCAGGGAAGTGAGACAGTTGTGCTTTGTACAGGGCACTCTGAGGAGGTCATTCTTCCCTAGCTTCGGGTTTGTGTGGCTTTCGGAGAGCTTTGTTTTCATGTTCTTCTGCCCTGCCTCTAAGTAAACGCATAATTCAGGCTAATTTCCAGGCTTCTGGAAAATGGATGTATTTATAGGGCCTCAGGAAGGCACGGGCGGTGTTGTAAGGTAGAGGTTACCAGCTGTATCCAGAGATTTTGTAATTGCCCAGGAATGAGGCACGTGGCAGGAATTATACTCACACGAGGATTCCTGGGTTCTCTGCTGCATTTTGGTAGTAACTTTGCTTGAAGCCATAGGGACATTTCTGTAGCATTTTCAGGGGGACCCCTTTGCTCTTTCTTTATCAGCACACAGCAGCCTGCCCAGATTGTTCCAGGGATTGAAGCAAATCCAGGCACTGAAGGAAACCTGACTGAGCCTAAGTTAGAATTTTAATAAAAATCCCCAATAAAGGTCTTTTATCTTTTATATTTCTTATTGGTTTTAGGGATACCAATTATTTCCATGATGCCTCACATGGATGTGTCTTGTTTTTCTGAGTGGCGAAAAAGTTTCTATACCAATATGAGTCCTGACAATCTAAAAAAAAAGAGTCTTGAAAATCTAGCCCTAAGCTGTGGGGGAGGAACGTAACCGCCTGGCTGGTGCAGCTCTGGCTTCCTGGGCTGGATGTTACCGGTGACAGTTGCTCCCAGAGGTGCCGCGGGTGTGCGTATGTGAGCGTGCTGGCAAGTGGCCCAACGTGAAGGTGTCTGACTTGCTGGTTGTGTGGGGAAATTACAGTTTGGGGCAGGTGCACAGAAATCACCCTCGTCCCCCATTTCACTTCGCAGACGAAGGAAGAGGCCTTGGAGGCGACTTGCCTAGAGTCCTGTAGGAGAGTAACAGAGGCCAGTAGAGTGGCTCCTAAACCCCAGGCCTGCTGGTTCTCAATCCAGGGAAGCAGCTCAGTTTTACTGAGCACTTGCTGTGTGTCAGGCACTACCCTCACTTCCCATGTGCATTTTTGGACTTAATCATCTGCACTTTGAAAAGGGTAGGACTCTTGTTATCTTTACTTTGCAGATGAGGAAACTAAGGCTCCGAGAGACAGAGGACCTAGCCCAGGGTCACTCAGCTAGCACGTGGTAGGACGCCTGGTCTCTCAGCCCTGGAGCCATGTTCTTCGTTATGAAATTGTCGTGTTGAGGCTCTTTCAGCTGCTTCTGCCAGTTTTCAAGATCATTTACTATAATCTTTGGACCATTGGATAAACGTTGCTTATCTCTCGGGGTGGCTCTCCAAGAAAAACATGAGAGTGAGAGGTGGGGACCCTGAGTGTGTGCAGGGCCGTGCCCTTCTGGGGAGCCCAGATAAACCTTGTTCAAAGAAAGAAATGCCAGACGTCTCTGCAGTGTACATACTCTTATCCATGCCCCGGCTCTCTGCTAAGATAGTCAGTGCTCCCCTCCTAACCATGAATCCTTTCAGCAAACTTACTGAGCCCCTCCAAGGTGGCAGGTGCTGCTGTCCTGGGGGTGGGGTGACGAGTGTCCAGCATGGTGGCTCAGAGTTGGTTCAGAATGCCTCATGTGGTGGTTGGGGGGGGCACTTGGGCGTGACACGGACCTGGGTTCAAATACTGACCTGACCGCTCTCTAGTTGTGTGACCCCGGGCAAATTCTTTGACTCTGACCTTCAGATTATTCAACAGGAAAACCGGCATGAGATGCCCCATCGCTTTCATGTTGGTATGGAAAGGAATGAGGAAGATAAAGCCTTAGAAAGTGTCTAGTGTATGGCACATAGCAAATGCTCAGTCAAGACACTTGTCTCAGTGACATTTTAAATGTCTTTCCTATCTGTCTTCTTCCTCATTCATCACTCTTGAGTTTAAAAGGAGATTCAAGCCGGGCGCGGTGGCTCACGCCTGTAATCCTAGCACTCTGGGAGGCTGAGGCGGGTGGATTGCTCGAGGTCAGGAGTTCAAAACCAGCCTGAGCAAGAGCAAGACCCCGTCTCTACTATAAATAGAAAGAAATTAATTGGCCAACTAATATATATATATAAAATTAGCCGGGCATGGTGGCACATGCCTGTAGTCCCAGCTACTCGGGAGGCTGAGGCAGAAGGATTACTTGAGCCCAGGAGTTTGAGGTTGCTGTGAGCTAGGCTGACGCCACGGCACTCACTATAACCTGGGCAACAAGTGAGACTCTGTCTCAGAAAAATAAATAAATAAATAAATAAAAAATAAAAGGAAGAAACAATAGTGATATAGCACATCTTATATTTTCCTGGTTAGAGCTGGAACCCATACTACTAAGTGAAGTATCCCAAGAATGGAAAAACAAGCACCAGATATATTCTCCAGCAAACTGGTATTAACTGAGTAGCACCTAAGTGGACACATAGGTACTACAGTAATAGGGTATTGGGCAGGTGGGAGGGGGGAGGGGGGCGGGTATATACATATATAATGAGTGAGATGTGCACCATCTGGGGGATGTCATGATGGAGACTCAGACTTTTGCGGGGAGGGGGGAATGGGCATTTATTGAAACCTTAAAATCTGTACCCCCATAATATGCCGAAATAAAAATAAAAAAAAATAAAAAAAATAAAAGGAGATTCAGAGCTGCTGAAGTCCCTTGGCCCCTCTTCAATAAGTAGAACTGTGGTTCCAGGCACTGGGTCCCGTGGCAGCTGTGTCAAGTAAGTCAGTAAAAATGCAGGACCGTGCACAGTGTTCAGAATTCTTAGAAATGCCCATAAATGGTAATATCAGTTTGGTGATTTCTTGGCACGCATGGCAGGTGGTAGATAAAGGAGCCCAATAGTGACATTGAAGTCAGTGCTTTGTGCAGTTTGACTTGAGAACTTGCTGCATGCGGGTCAACCTGGTACCATTTCCCGGGAAATGCTCTCGCACAAATGGGACCCTGGCCATGAAACGTTAGCAGTGCAGCCGAGCAAGGAGGTTTCCTGGGTGTCTCAGCAGTCGTCCGGGTTTTTACATCAGCAGTCTTTACACCACGATTGGGAGAGCCTGAATGAATGGTTTACAATGTGTTTGGGGAAAGTTGTGCTTCTAGTAATAGAAGGGACCTTCCAGTTCCTCCTCCTTAGCAGCCTTAAAAACAAGAGGAAGGGAATGATGGCTCGAGGGAAGAGCAGATGTGTTGCTGGGGTCCCAGGGGTCTGGGGGTCTAGGGACCCGGGGAAGGGGTTGGGGCTGGGAGAGGAGAGTTAAGATGCGAGCAGTTGAGGGGGATGGGGATGAGGCCCAGCCTGTGCTTGGGCGGATCAGCTGTGCGTGGGCAGGTTGGAGGCTCTGTGGCCTACGTGGTTGCCAGGAGGTGCTTGGGCTCGAAGCAGAGGGACGAACTGTGGTCTGTCCTTCTGAGCCCACCTTCCCACCGGAGTGCGTCAGCTGCCTCGGCCTGAGTACAAGGGCCAGATAAGGACAGGGTCCTGAACTTAGCATGTTGTTGGCTGAAACCGATTCCTTTCTTCTTTCCCAGTATCCTGTGGAAATCAGGAAGTATGAGTATGACCCCAGCTTTGCAATCCGTGGACTGCATTATGATGTTCATCGGGTAAGTTTCCTTCTCATGGTTTTTTCTACAGTGCAATGGTGTTTGAAAATAAAATGTGCTCTTGATGCTTTTCTTTGCTGAACAGGTAAATTGGTTTTAAATTATGTTATTTAGGGCTGCAGAACCAAATTATTCAAATATCTTTGAGTAAAATCTTTTTGAAGAGACTACGTGTTAGAAAAACATGAATGCATGTAGCTATTTGGGATGTACTATTTATTTCTAGTGGTCGTTTTTTGTGTTTTGAGAAGGAGCCAGTTGCCATATCTCTTTTTTTTTTTTTTGCTTTTGTAGATAGGCAATTTCCTTAAATTGCTGCGTAGCACTTTAATTAACAAGCAAGCCTTTCAGGAACATATAGTGGTGCTTTCTCTTTAGGGCAGCCTAATGTTGATAGGATACACAAAGACTCCTGGATTGTGCATTTAATATGCAAGTTGTGTGTTATTTATATGTGCATATGTTTGTGTTTTTAAAGGCAGTATTGATGAAGATTGATGCTTTTCATTACATCCAGCTGGGGACTGTCTACAGGTAAGAGTAAAAGGGGATAAACTTACTTCACCCAGAATAACCAAGTGGCTTTGGGTTTCAGAACCCACTGACTGTCAGTGACGAGGAGGGCTGGAGTGTGTGTACTAGGATTCATTCATTCATCCACTCACTCTTCCAAGAGCATTGTTTCAGGCCTGCTGTCATGCTGGGTGTGGAGGGTTTAGTTTACAAGGATGTCTTCCCTCAAGGAGCTTGGAGTGTGGGTGGGAAGCTTCACGAGTAAATGGCTGTTGTCCACAGTGACAAAGGTGATGATGGAAATGTCCTCAGACTGTTAGGGAGCACTCTGGGGGGCTCTGGAGGACTCTGGGGGAGGACTGGCTTACTGGAGGTGATGGCTGAGGAGCTGAGGGAGGGTCCTGGTGGGGCTTGGAGGGAAGGGACATGGGGGTGAGGCAGCAGGGTTCTCAGTCCCACCATGGGAGTCAGATGGTTTGGATATTGAGACTTTTTACCCCCTGTTTATTAGAATTAGTGGAAGTACTTTGTGTAGCCAGAAATCTTTGTAACTTTTAAAATGGAGGGTTTTGCCTTTTTTAATTCTCTAATTTGGGAGGGGATTTAGGAGTATGGTTTGTGTTTAGGTTCCTAGCTTATGAACCTTTTAAAAAATGTGCATATCTGGCCAGGCGCAGTGGCTCACGCCTGTAATCCTAGCACTCTGGGAGGCCGAGGCGGGCGGATCGCTCGAGGTCAGGAGTTCGAAACCAGCCTGAGCAAGAGCGAGACCCCGTCTCTACTATAAATAAAAAAAGAAATTAATTGACCAACTAATATAGTGAGAGAAAATTAGCTGGGTATGGTGGCGCATGCCTGTAGTCCCAGCTACTCGGGAGGCTGAGGCAGAAGGATCACTCGAGCCCAGGAGTTTGAGGTTGCTGTGAGCTAGGCTGACGCCACGGCACTCACTCTAGCCTGGGCAACAAAGCGAGACTCTGTCTCAAAAAAAAAAATGTGCATATCTTAGCTTAGAGTCTTCTCTCACAAACTGTTAAAATTAATGCTTAGTTACTTATATTTTTTGTCAAAGTAAAAGCATGCATACAGTTACAATCACATAGTGTTAAAGGCGTCAAGAGGACAGCAGGCTCTGTCCTCCACTCCCACCCAGACCCTTTAGGCTCTTTAGATTTTTTTTCTGGTGTTTTCCCTTCCTACTTCTAAATAATCTGTGCTCATTCTTCTATTTCCTAAGTTATTAGTTCCGGCCACCGTCCCTGCTGTGCTAGACGGGGCGTAGCTTTCTGGCACGCTTCGCCGTCCCTGCCCGGCATCTTCACGCTCATTCTTCTCTTCTCGTTAGGATCTCAGGATTCGGTGGTTGTGTCAGCCACTGGCTATGTTACGACTCTGGAAGTCTTGTGCACTCTTTTAAAACATTTATTTTATTGATACATAATTGTACATATTTGTGGAGTACATCTGCTATTTTGATAGAAGCATATAATGTGTCATGATCAAGTCTGGGTAACTGGGCTATTCATCACCTCCAACATTTATCATTTCTTCGTGTTGGAAGCATTCCAAATCATTTCTTCTCTATTTTGAAATATACGATATATTACTGTTAACTGTAGCCGCCTACTGTGCCATCAAACACTGGAAATTACTCCTTCTGTTTAACTTTATGTTTGTGCCCATTAACCAACCTCTCCTCATCCCCCTGCCCTCCCACCCTTCCCAGCCTCTTGCAGCCACCATTCTGCTCGCTACCTCCGTGAGATCCATTTTTGTTTTTTTAGCTCTCACATATAAGTGAGAACATGTGATATTTGTCTTTCTGTGCCTACCTTATTTTACTTAACATGATGTCCTTTGGGTTCATCCACGTTGTTGCGAGTGACAGGATTTCATTCTTTTTAATGACTGAATAATATTCTGTTGTGTATATATGCACATTTCCCTTATCCATTCAGCCATTTATGAACACTTAGGTTGATTCCATACCTTGGCTATTGTGAATAGTGCTGCAATAAACATCGGAGTGCAGCTCTCTCTTTGATATACTGAGTTCCTTTCTTTTGGATATATACCCAGCAGTGGGAGCATATGGTAGTTCTGTCTTTAGTTTTATGGGGAACCTGCATACTGTTTTCCATAGTGGCTGTACTCATTTACATTCCCACCAACAATGCATAACAGTTCCCTTTTTTCTCCGCATCCTTGACCAGCATTTGTTATTATTATTATTTTGTCTTTTTGATAATATCCATTGTGACTGGAGTGAGATATCTCATTGTGGTTTGGATTTGCATTTACCTGGTGATTGGTGATGTTGAGCATTTTTTTATATACATGTTGACCATTTGTATGTCTTCTTTGGAGGAATGTCTATTCAAGTCCTTTGCCCACTTTTTAATGGGATTATTATTTGTTTGTTTGTTTTTTCTGTTGAGTTCCTTATATACCCTGGTTATTAATTCTTTCCTGGATGGATAGTTTGCCAATATTTTCTACCATTCTGTGGGTTGTCTTTTCACTCTGCTGTTTCCTTTGCTGTGCAGGAGCTTTTTAGCTTGTCTATTTTTGCTTTTTTTGACTGTGGTTTTAAAATCTTAGCCAAAAAATCTTTGCCCAGACCAATGTCCTGAAGCATTTCCCCAATGTTTTCTTCTAGTAGTTTCATACTTTCAGGCCTTACATTTAAATCTTTAATCCATTTTGATTTGATTTTGTATGTAGCGAGAGACAGGGATCTAGTTTCATTCTTCTGCATATAGTTACCATTTTTCCTAGTAGCATTTATTGAAGAGTTCGTCCTTTCCCCAATGTATATTCTTGGTGCCTTTGTTGAAAATCAGTTGTCTGTAAGTGGCTGTAAATGCAGTTTATTTCTGGGTTCTCTGTTTTGTTGGTCTTGTGTCTGATTTTATTTTATTTTATTTTTATTTTTTTATTTTATTTTATTTTATTTTATTTTTTTTTATTTTTTTTTTGAGACAGAGTCTCACTTTGTTGCCCAGGCTAGAGTGAGTGCCATGGCGGCAGCCTAGCTCACAGCAACCTCACACTCCTGGGCTCAAGCGATCCTACTGCCTCAGCCTCCCGAGTAGCTGGGACTACAGGCATGCGCCACCATGCCCGGCTAATTTTTTCTGTATGTATTAGTTGGCCAATTAATTTTCTTTCTATTTATAGTAGAGACGGGGTCTTGCTCTTGTTCAGGCTTCCTGACCTCGAGCAATCCACCCGCCTCGGCCTCCCAGAGTGCTAGGATTACAGGCGTGAGCCACCGCGCCCGGCCTATTTTATTTTTTTATTTTATTTTATTTTATTGGAGACAGAGTCTCACTCTTGTTGCCCCGGCTAGAGTGCCGTGGTGTCAGCCTAGCTCACAGCAACTTCAAACTCCTGGGCACAAGCGATCCTCCTGCCTCAGCCTCCCGAGTAGCTGGGACTACAGGCATGTGCCTCCATGCCCGGCTAATTTTTTTCTCTATATTTTTAGCTGGCCAACTAATTTCTTTCTATTTTTAGTAGAGACAGGGTCTCACTCTTGCTCAGACTGGTCTCGAACTCCTGAGTGCAAACGATCCTCCCGCCTCGGCCTCCCAGAGTGCTAGGATTACAGGCGTGAGCCACCGTGCCCAGCCTGTGTCTGTTTTTATACCAATACCAGGCTGTTTTGGATATTATAGCTTTGTAGTATATTTTGAAGTCAGGTAATGCAATGCCTCCAGCTTTGTTCTTTTTGCTCAGGATTGCTTTGGCTCTTTGGGGTCTTTTGTGGTTCAGTATACTTTAGGATTGTTTTCTTCTATTTCTGTGAAGAATGTCATTGGCATTTTGATAGGAATCGCATTGAATCTGTAAATTGCTTTAGGTGTTGTGGACATTTTAACAATATTCTTCCACTCCATGAACATAGGTTATTTTTCCTTTTTTGCATGTGTGTATCCTCTTCAGTTTCTTTCATCAGCATTTTATAGTTTTCATTTTAGAGCTTTTTTACTTCTTTGGTATTCGTAGGTTTTTTTCCTAGATATTTTTTCATTTTTGTCTTGTTCACTCTTAAGCTAGGTGATTATTTTCTTCTTGTATAGCGTATGGTTTTTCTTAGATTTAATAGTATTTCATTTTTTGTTTGCTTAGTTTTCTGTGTGGGTATCTCTGATTGTTTCCACATGTTCCATCACAAATGTCAAGCATGTATTTATTTTCCAATAATATTCAAATGTTTTCAATAATCTATGTTACTTTTTTTTTTAATTGACTGTCCCCCTTCTGTTCTGATCTGGTTTGGTTGCTTGTCCTGGGATTTCCCTTTGTCACTTTCTCTGTTTCCTAGTTTCCATCTCTTCCTCTTTCTGGCTTTACTTCCTCATTTTGCTGGAGCATATCCTCAAGTAGTTTCCTGGTGCCTTGTGGTGCTGAGCCTTTCTGGAGATCTGTGGCAGTTAATCAGTTCTTGTTGCTGTCCACTTGCAGGCCTCTGTTCTCAGTGTTGTTAAGTCAGCTTCCTCCTTCCTTCTTTGCATCCATTATTTGTCTTCCTGTGTCTTGTTGAGCTGTCTTATCTGTTGCTGTCTTTGATTTCATTTCCTTTCTCATTTTAATGGTGTTTTAGGAGGAGGCAGTGGACATGATAATAATATTAGTAATAATAAATAGTGACTAACAAATATTGAGTTTTGCTATGGGACATGCATTGTTATAAGGGTTTTATTCACTCATTTGATCCTCAAAATAACCTTATGAAGTAGGGTACTATTATGAGTCCCAGAGATGTTAAGTAACTTGCCCAAAGTCACACAGCAAATAATTGCCCTGGGCTAGAGATCAGACCCAGGGCAGTCTGTGCTCTTGGCCACCATGCTGTGGTGAGGGCTAATTGGAGTCCCACAGCTTATCTTTTTTTGGGGGGGGGGTAGTGAATGTTTTAGTCTATACTATTAAAAATAATCTTTCCATTTATTTTGTAAGTAACTTAGGTATATTAAATATAATCGAATGTTTTTGTACACATGTCTCATTTTCTTAGGAAAAATCTCTAGAAGTAAAATTGCTGGGTGAACATGTTTATTCATTTTAAGGGTTTTGAAATGGCTTAAGTGACTTCCAGAAAGATTATACCACTGCCAAGAGACTTGCTTTTGAATTTAAAGTTGTTCTTATACTTAACATTTTCCAAATTTTAATTTCCTCTTCTCTAAACCACTTAAGTGGACACTCATTCATTCATTTATGCATTCATTCAGTCAATATAAATAGCACACAAAGGTTCTCTAAAAGAAAAGATATTTATTTGGGAATAGAGCATTGAGATGGGAATACATATGCCATGGTAAACTATGTGTGTATTCAGGGAGGTAAAGGAAGACAAAGGTTTTTACAGGAAAAAATGAGGAGGATTACATACTTTTTTTTGCAATAATTATCCTTCACTACAAAGATCAGTGACGGGGTGATGCCAGTCCGAGGTTGAACAGGCAGTTGCTGGACGGATGTCCTTGCAGAAATAGCTTTTGTGTAAGATTGTGATGGCTTTTGTGCAAGGTTGTGGTTTTTGCAATCTTTTGTGATAGTTTTTATAAGGCACACAAGTGTGAGAACCTGTTCTTTCTGGCCTTTCTTGGCTCTGTTTGTCAGGGTTTTCTTAATATTAGTGACTCTACTTTGGTTCTGACAACTTTCACAATTCCCTTGTTCACTCCTTTCTAATAGCTCCCAATGTTTGCCCCAAATTATTCTAGCAGTGGCGGTAGGTGGAGGGATAAGGAAGACAAGGTTGTCCGTGTTTATGGAAATCCTCACCAGATCTTTTTGTCTGTCCCTGCATTTCTTTCTACCATCAGCCTCTGGTTTAGACACTTATCTCTTCTCCCCTGGGCTCTTGGAGTTTTCTGCAGTGCAGCCCATGCTGGACATTGGACATTGTTGCTAGGCTAATTTCCCTAAATCATTACTCCCAACTTCCTGCTCTTGAAACCCTGGATGGCTTGTTACTGTCTGCTGAATGAAGTCCAAGCTTTAAGCTCAGCCTGAAGTTTGAGATTTTTGTCAACCTACTATAAACCCACAGCTTCCTCTTCTTCCATACACAGCTCCTTTTCATATTGGAACGGTTAAGACTCTTGCTTGCAAGTGACTGAAGACCAGCTCACACGGGGTCAGTCAAAAACACAATATTGGCTTATGTTTGTACAGCCCAGGGATAGCGCTCGTTGCCGGAGTGGCTGGCTCCAGGGGCCAGATGACGATTGTCAGCACTCTTTCCTTCTCCTGGCTGTTTTCCTGTCCGTGTGGCTCATTCTCAGCAAGCCTCTCTGTGTGGGGACCCGTGGCAATATCAAGCTCACATCTCCCCAAGCACCAGGTTGAGAGGACATAGGAGCTTTGCTTCTCTATGATTCAGCCAGAGTCCCAGGACTGAATCTCCTCGGAATGGGTCATGTGCCTGGTCCTGAACCAGAATGATGAAGAGGGAACAGACACCGGGCAGGCGAAAACAACACATGGATTCTTTCCCTCTGAGTTCTCCTTTCTCACACTTGGCACTTGCTCCCGTGGGCATCACTCCACCATGACGCAGTTTTCCCTGCTCTCTGCTTCTTGAAATGCCGCCCACCCTTCACAGCCACCTGGTGGTGAGTCCTCCCTTCTCCCTGTCAGCCTGAAGGGCTCTGTCCCTCCCCTCCTGTGGTCCACACCATCCTTAGGACCCCTTATCATCTTGTTTCTTCTGCTTATTTATGAAGGTGTCCCTTGGGTGAGGAGTATGGCCGGAGGAGGCTGCCGAGGCATTTTCGGGGAAGGGGGGTCAGAGTTTGGTTGTGGGAGTTCACTGTGGCATCAGTGCTGGGCGTGGGTGTGGTGAGCTGGGCCCCAGAGCGAGCGTGTATCACAACCGCTCCCTGGGTGTGAACCAGGGTGTGAACCCAGACCCCTCACACGTGTGTGGTCTTGAGCAAGTTCTGGCTGCCCCGAAAGCTTTGCCCCCTGCCCCTGTAAAGCAGCCACGGCGGCAGTGCCAGCCCGAGGGCAGCCTGTTGGGAAGATGGAGCATGCTTGGAAAAGTGCCCGGAGTTTTATGGGCACGCAGAAATGTCACTTCTCTTCCCCCCCAGAAAGCGTCATGAATGAGAGACGGGCGGGAAGAAGGTGTCAGCCTCCACCTCGCTGGTTCCTGGGAACTGCAGGTGTCGGGTTCTACCCCAGAAAGGCTGGCAGTGTTTCCGTCACAGTCCCACCAGCGGAGTTGTGGCGCTTACTGTACACCAGCCGTGCTGTGTGTCGTAGCTCCCTGAATCCTCTCAGTGACATCAGGAAGTAGGCACCCTTGTTATTCCCTGCTTTAAGGATGAAAACCTTGAGACCCAAAGAGGGTGAACTACTTGTCAAGGTGATACCCCTCGTAATTATGGGAGCTGGGATTTGAACCCCGGGCAGGCTTGTTCACGTCTGTGCTCCTAACCTCTCTGTTTCTCATAACCCCGCACAGGGCTGGAGAAAGGGGCTTTCAGTTTGATTTCAGCGCTGGTTCAGGCAGCGTTCAGAGGTGGCAGCGCAGTCTGCCATCCTCCCGAGCCCGTTGCGGTTCTGCTTGACTCCGTGTTTGCCGCAGCTGCCTCCTGGGGAACGCAGCTGCCTGGAGCCGGCTGACCTTGCTTCTGACCAGCTTCTGAGCTGACATTTGGTTGCCTGGCCCTTAAAATGGCAGCCTGTGTGCGCTGGCAACAGCGGCTTCCCAAGGCCTCAGCCTGAGCGTGAGGCTGGGAAATAACTCTCACCCGGCAGAATCTCCCCACTTTCTATATCATCTCTCTGAGCGTCAGAGCCTTGGCAGTGTGGACGCCTGCCCGTTGCTACCCAGCGAGAGCTCCTCCCAAGGTCACTGCCTGGAGTGATCTGGTTTAGTGCCGGTGGCTTATCTGATGTCTGGAGCAAAGATAAGGGGAGTACAGTGCTGCTGTTGTTTTCAAAGGCCAGTAGTTGTAGCAACTTAAGATCAGAGGCAAAATATTACTGAATGTGCTCGGATACTTTTAGAAGTAATATAGGGGATGGAGATGGGAGGAAAGAGGTTGAAGTGATGTTTTCACTAACATTACATATCAAGACATAAACTACATTGTATACATATTTTAACACGAGCCCTGTGGTCTTGTATGCTAAGCAACCCGTTTCATTGGTGCCTATTTCTCAAGCGCTCTGTCCTCTACAGAGGGGGTGGCAGAGCAGATGTGTCCCTCGTCACCCTCTAGGGTGGACAAGTCCAGTGAGCAGGTGAAACACCTGCTGATGGTAGAGGCAGGGGCGAAACCCTGGCCACTGACCCCAAAATTATTATTATTATTTTTTTGCTGTATGTGGAAGGGCTGGGTTCATTTGCAAATTCCAGAGGCAGACAGATGGTGGATGTCACTTCGGCGGTTTACAGATGAGGAAACCGGCCTTCAGTGCCACAAAGCATTTGGGGCCTTCCCTGTCCAAGAAGGTGGTGTCGCTGGGCTTCCTGCCTCATGTCCCGGGGTTTAGTCCACTGAGCCACGTGTGTGACATTCCACCCTCAGCACCAATACTCTTGGGAGAGTATTGGGGGGCAGCAGGATGTTGATGGAGGCAAAAAATAGCCTTTCTCTGTCCTAATGTATTAAAATCGCTTAAAAAGTGGACCCAAAGCAAGTCATTAGGGAGCCTTGTGCCTTAGTAGTTTAAGAGCCTGGGCCCTAGAGCCAGAAAGCCTGGGTTCTAATCCTGACCCACTACTTTCTACTTTGGTGACCTTGACAAGGTACATGACCTTTCTGTGCCTCAGTTAGCTGGAAAATGGGAAGACTATTCAAGTCTCCCTTCTAGGAACATTGTAGAGTAAGTGAATAACTAGGCGTGATTCATATCTGGCATATAGCAGATGCCATGTAGCAGTAGCTACTATTATTCTTGCTCTCGTTACCAATAGAACAGTAATAGTGGTAATAGTAGTAGCATCTTGCCTGTTATTTGTAGCATTTAGTTGTGGCACATTTGCCTCATGGTGACAGCAGTGCCTGGCACCTCAGTTGTAAAATCCCAGCAGTGGACAGAGGTCTTACAATCACTGGTCTCTCCAGCTGAGCTCTTTAACACCACTTCTGATTTTTCCAGAGGCCTCAGTGTTGTCCCTGACGAAGAAGTCATTGACATGTACGAGGGGTCCCACGTGCCCCTGGAACAGATGAGCGACTTTTACGGAAAGGTAATGAGAAGCACTTTATTTATTTAAAGCAGCTCGTCTTTCTCCTTCTTGAAACACGGCCTCGGAGATACAGGAGCTTGAACTGCTGGTCTCACCTCCTGCGTGCATGGAAGGGACGGGGAGATTCGAGATTGTGTTTGAGAGAGGCTAGTATGTCATGATTCTCCTTTCTTAAGCCCTTCCTCCCTACCTGGTGGAGGCTCTTTCCACCCCCCTCGTACCCAGCCCCGTTTGCCACCACCTTCCAGGGGTGTCTCTGCTTGCTGGGATGGGGCCCAGCAAGGACCAGGGGCGGTCAGTGTGCAGGTGTCGTTTCCCCTGAGCCAGGCTGCAGAATCCAGAGACTAATGGCCACGCAGGAGCGACCTTTTCTGCCTGAAGGGAAATCCCTGCTTTTCTAACTTTTGTGGTTCTCTTTGCTCTCAGAATTTTTGCTTCTTGTCTTATGAGAGGCACTCATTTGTTTGCCTTGTCCCAATGAAATGGAAGGTGCCTGGTCAGCCAGTAAACTTGGCACAGATGGTCCCTAACTTATGATGGTTCAGCTTAACAATTTTTTTTACTTTATGGTGGTCTGAAACCATTGCAATTTTGATGTCAGTCACAGTATTCAGCAAGTTACATGAGATAGTCAACACTTTGTAAACTAGGCTTTGTGTTAGATGGTTTTGCTCAACCGTAGGCTAATGTAAGTGTTCTGAGCACTTCTAAGGTAGGCTTGGCTAAGCGATGATGTTTGGTAGGTTAGACATATAAATGCACTTTTGACTTATGATGAGTTTATCGGGATACAACCCCATCATAAGTCGAGGAGCATCTATTGCATCAATCGTAAGCATTTGGAGGAAGGCTGATTTTTAAGCTTAAATATAGACTGCAAGGGTGTGCTCCAGTTTAGGAGGGTTCAGTGGCTTTGTGTGCTGTCACATGGGCAGTAATCTGTTTTCCGGCTTTCCTCTGTGTTTCCTGAAAGAACGTGAACTCGAAGCTGGACGTGCACGTGGAGGGCAGGGCGGTCAGACTCTTGGGAATCAGGGCGTTTCTGTGGGCATTGTTTTCATGCTTAGGGCGAGACATCAGGAACAAGGGGAGCATTTTACTTTTTTCTTAAAACTTTGCTTTTTCAATGGAGAAGCCTCTACATGTTGATGACCAGAGGCTCCCTGACTTCTAAGAAGTCTTCTCTGTCCCCAGTGCTTTGTGGCAGGTGGCTACGCCGCTGGCGTGGGCCCCGTTCCTAAAGCACCTCCTCCCTGTCCGCAGAGTTCTCACGGAAACACCATGAAGCAGTTCATGGACATCTTCTCCCTGCCCGAGATGACCCTCCTGTCCTGCGTGAACGAATACTTCCTGAAGAACAACATTGACTATGAGCCCGTTCACCTGTACAAAGACGTCAAGGTTGTATCACAGTGAGATTGCGGGGCTGCGTCCCTTTCAGCTTTTCAGGGGAAGTAGCTGAGCCTTTAGCCTCCTTTCTAGGTTAGGTACTTTAAATAGTCTCTGAGCTGGGCTATTTGCGGTTTAACCTTGAAAATTGTAAGAAAGATGTTACATCAGGAGAATTGGAAATCAGTCAAGTTTCTTTTGTTAAAACAAGGTGGTGCTCACACTGCTGTCTAGGTTTCTGATCCTTTCTGATCAGAAGGCTGGGATTTTAATCCTTTCTGCTCCTGGACAAAGAGAGGAGAGGGGCCGGCGTGGGGTGTCCCTTCCTCACGAAAAGAGATGTCATGTTCATGCCCCAGGCTGAAGTTTTCCAGAGGGGACACCTTTCTCTCTTGCCCACAGAGGTTCCATGTGGCTCTCTGGGGCCCTGCAGAAGCCATGTGAGAAGCTGTCTGAGAGGGACAGGGGCAGATGGAAACATTGATATGCACACACACTGCAAGTCCTTAATGCCTGTAGGGTCTCGGTAACTGTGACTTTAAGTGAAACCACACACAGCAGGTCCTGGGACAATATTGTTTTGTTATGACGTGGATGAGGGGAAGAAAATTGGTTTTGTTATATGTCATTTCACTTAAAGTTGCAGCTTCTAAAAACCTATCAAAAACATTAAGGACTTTACACATTATTTGTATTTATATATTTAAATTTATATTTATTTGACATGTGTTTATATACATTCTTTGTATGAACTATTCAATACTAAAAGTTATCTTTATGTTATTTATTTATATATATTTATAATAACATAAATATATACTTATATATAATATACATTTAAAATATTTATATTTTAGAAAGATATGTTTATACACCAAAATATATTTATTATATGCTTATTGACTAATTTTAAATTTTGACTGCCCCAGATCCTGGGTTTTAGGAAGATAAAGGATGAATTATAGTTTCTCAACATCAGTCTGGTATTATTTGAACTAAATGTAAATATTTGGCTTCTGTTCTTTTTGTTACACAGATACTTCCTCTTTAAAAATCTTTTAAGAATCACTTGTAGCAACACTTTTTGCATTCATGAAGCAAGATGTTTATTTGAAAGTTCAGTTTTTACTACAAGTATTACTACCACTAATAGCAACAGTTATATAGAGTTTATTAGGTCCCAGGCACTGTTCCCGCATGGTAACTCACTAAATAGTCACAATAATGCCTTGAGGTAGTACTATTATTATCATCCCATTTTATAGAGAAAGAAACTGAGGCATAGAGAGGTTAAGTAACTTGCCTGGGGTCACACAGCTAGTAAGTAGCAGAATCTTGATTTTAAGCCAGTCAGTCCGGCTTGCATTTAACCACTGCCTTCTGCTGCTGGTGAGAAATTGAAACAGGCCTGTGCTGAAAGGTAATTGGGGTTGAGATTACAATATAGAAGTACCCACTCTTGACAGAAATCTTCCACCAACAGTCTAAGGCCTAGGCACAGTTTTGCTTGCAGCCCAGTCTCTTGCTACTGGCTCTAGACAGTTTCCGTATGCCTCTCCTCCCAGGACAGACCCTGTGCCCTGCCACCTGCAAGTGGTACTCTGCTCGATACCCACCAAGCATCAAGCTGCCACACCTCTGAGCCTACAAAGGGTTAATCACCTCCTTCTCCTCCTCCTCCTCCCCTCCCCATTCCTGGGCCTGCCAGTTGGACCACATCTCTGTCTGAGCTACAGTCTGATTGACAGTTCCTTGCCTATTGGTGATACCAAAGAGAGAAGGAGGAACCTGTTATCTGTTTGTCTCTGCCTCTCTTCCAGGTTACAGAACCTACTCTTGGGGTCTAGGGAGGGAAATGGGGGCAAAGATGAGAAGAGCAATCACTCCCTCTGTCCAGATGACCTGGCATCATTTGTTCACAATACTGCATATAAATTACTGTTTATCCTTAGGGACTCTACTCAGAATTGTTCACACAAGTTACTTCTTCCAAGTGACCCTTTTGAAAAGTGCATTGGAAACTGCCACCATCACCGTGGAAACTTACACTTTGCCCGAGGGGCCGCCTATAATAACTAGACCAGAATTTAGATTTCGTTGAGTGCCTAGATCGTCAGATTTCTAAAGACAGAAGTTGTCACGACTGCCATTTCACTTGTACTGTTACTCGGGCTATCTCAGTTACACTTTTACTGATGCAAAATGTATCTTTTAACAGGATTCAATTCGAGACGTCCACATCAAAGGAATTATGTACAGAGCAATCGAGGCAGATATTGGTATGTGCTCGAGAGTGTCATGAAGATTGTGCAGATTTGTCAGGAAGATTTGTGCAGCCACGCAGGCATTTTGCTTTGCATTCCAGGTGCTGTAGAGGCTGCGTGCCTCTTTTCTGAGTGCCGTGTAGGGTCCTTCAGTCCTGGCACCTCAGATGTTGTCTCTTTGTTCCCGAACTTGACATAGTTCTGACTCAAAAGTGGAGGAGCTGGCAGTGGCAGCCCACTTAGTTCTTTCTTTCTTTTTGAGACAGAGTCTTGCTTTGTTGCCCAGGCTAGAGTGAGTGCCGTGGCGTCAGCCTAGCTCACAGCAACCTCCAACTCCTGGGCTCAAGCAATCTTTCTGCCTCAGCCTTCCTAGTAGCTGGGACTACAGGCATGCGCCACCATGCCCGGCTAATTTTTTCTATATATTTTAGTTGGCCAATTAATTCCTTTCTATTTATAGTAGAGACGGGGTCTCGCTCTTACTCAGGCTGGTTTCGAACTCCTGACCTCGAGCAATCCGCCCGCCTCGGCCTCCTAGAGTGCTAGGGTTACAGGCGTGAGCCACCGCGCCCGGCCTCACTTAGTTATTTCTAGGTAGACCGAGGAGGCAGGGTCTTTGTTACTAATGGACTGGGTACCCTTGTACTGCCCTGAACCCAGCTCCCTTATGACTTATATTCTCCCACTGTGCCTAGGACAGCGCTGGGCCCATAGGCCCCATTTAGTACGTGCTTGCAGATTGACTGATGTCATGCTGAATCTGTGTGTGAATTTTTCTCTTGCTCTTAGAAAAGTACATCTGCTACGCTGAGCAGACCCGTGCAGTGTTGGCCAAACTGGCCGATCATGGCAAGAAGATGTTTCTCATCACCAACAGCCCCAGTAGCTTTGTGTAAGTTGTTTTGTGTTTCATTGCTAGCTTTGGGCTCCTTTCTTGTATTCCATTTATTTTAGCAGTTGGAAATTGGAAAGAAAACGATGCAAAAATAGTTAATCCCTTTAATGTTAGACTGACCTGGCTGACTTCTTGTCCTAGGGACAAGGGGATGAGTTATATCGTTGGGAAAGACTGGAGGGACCTGTTTGATGTGGTCATCGTTCAGGCCGAGAAGCCAAACTTCTTTAATGATAAGCGGAGGTGAGTGACTGTCTTTCCAGGAGACTAGATTTTATTCCTTTGCTGCTGTGAATGCATATGTAGTGTGTCTTCGCAAAATTCAGTTGTAAAATCATAAGCATCTGAGATTATAGCTTTAGATTTTTAACCCTTCTAGCAAGTATTACAAGGAGGGTGAGATGAGTACATAGCAGACAGCTTGTACACATTGAAGTGGTTCTCAATTCAAGTTGGGCTGCTTCAGACCTATGAGTCAGGCTTTAAGAAAATGATTGACAGCGACGCAAACTTAATATCCTATAGTAAATTAGGTCTTTAGATGCAGATGCATTGTGAAGCATAAGAAAACAACAGCAACAACAAACTGTCTGGTGGGCATCTCTTTAAATAGAGCTCTAATTGGTGCATTTAAAATTGCAATTAGATTTTGCAAAACTTCTCTGCAACATAGTTTTTGCATCAGGTAGAGAAAATCTCTGTCAGGTCTTACATAATATCTTTCTGCAACAGTAGCCTTGGGAAATGGGGAATTGGAGAAGTTTTGGGTTGTAACAGGGACTGGGGTTGCTGTTAGTATTTAGAGAGTGGGAGCAGGGATGCTGAAATATATTTTAATGTGTGGGACAGACCTGTTCCCCAAGAATTATTCCCCCCAAAATGTCCATAGTGCTGAAAATTAGTGCATGAGGCTTCTAAAAATAACTCATATAATAATGGCCTATTTTTGAAATACTGTCACCCACATTTATCTATTCTGTAGTGGATAACCAGGCAGCCTTTTCCTCTCTGTTAGGCGATTTAAGGCACCAGAGTGTGGTGCCCTGCAGTTAGTGTTGAATGCATTAAATTCCGTTTATGATGCTAAGTTCCAGTTTTCCACATGTCTCAGTGACTCCTGGAAGAAGAGGCAAACTATGCGCAGGGAATGAAAAATACTTGGGGGAATTCAAGAGCATGAAGGAAAAGCTAGAGTGTGATCAAAAACAGCTATAAGTACTGGCATGCTGCTTTGTCACTGTTTCATCCAGATGTAGCTGTGGCTGGAGTCACCCCAAAAGCAGTGGCTGGCAAGTTCCCACAAGGGAGTTCCCCATACTGTCCCAAGATGGGGTCCGTTGGGATTCCAAAGAAAGAAGCGCTGGGGTGATCGAACTCCAGGGTGATCGGCCCAACTCATTTATGAGAGGAACAAACTTACAAGGGGACTGCAGCGTATCTTGGGCAGACAACAAGACAAAGGGATGTTCTTCCTAGGTGTGAAGGGGCCAGGGTGTAGGGTTTATATGAGGGTTTAAGGCAGGGGTCCTCAAACTTTTTAAACAGGGGGCCAGTTCACTGCCCCTCAGACCACTGGAGAGTGCGCACTGTGGGCCCGGGACGAGTCGGCTGCTAAGCAGGACAGGCAGCAGCGGCAAAAACACCTGACGGGCCGGATAAATGTCCTAGGCGGGCGGCATGTGGCCCGTGGGCCGTAGTTTGAGGACGCCTGGTTTAAGGAATTTGGCTCAGGGTTGGGGCTAGTTTTTTTTTTTGGTGTTCAGGGCCACATTCTAAACACCCTCATCAGTGCCTGGGAGTGTTTAGGGCCCCAGCGTGGCTCCAAGCCTGCAGGGAAAACATGCAGCTGGTAGGGTGGCAGAGCAGTCAAGCACTGCCCATCAGGACAGAGAAAGAAGACGCAGGGCACTGGGGCTCCCTGCCGTCCTTGGCAAAATGCTCTCAAGCGTTTTCTTAGTAGATTCCAGGGCGTGGTAGGAGAAGGGCCCCTTTCTCTTCTCCTCTGTCAGGTGTGTACACAGTGGAGGGGAAGTGTCTCGGACTCTTCTTGTGGCAGGGGGTGGTCACACATCTACTTTTGCCTTTGTTCTGGAAGCCTAAAATAATAGCTGAATAATCCTCCATCTGTGTTTATCCTTGTGTTATTCATAATGATGAGAGGCCAGAAACACCCTAAAGGCCTGGCTGTAGCAGATGACTAGTTGAATTCAGAGCATCCATATGAGGGGTATTATGCTGCCATGAAAAATGATGTTTTTGGAAAAAAAGCAGTGAGCATGTTTTAGTGCTATGAAAGACATATTTAAGAATATGTAATCGCTTGGGACATTGCACACAGTATTAGAGAAAAAGGATATAAATCTCTATATACAAAGTGATCCTCATTTTATGTTCATAAAAAAGAAAGATAACAGATAACATTTTATATAAAGATTAAAAGGCAAGTAATGTTAAGTATTTATGCCTGGGTACTGGAATTACGGGTCACTTTCTTTCCTTCCTTGTAATTTTTCTTCATTTTCCAGATTTTCTATAGTGAGGTTATATAGTTTTCTAATCAGAAAAACAATCAGGTAAAAAAATTACCTTCTTTTAAAGGTGACACTTATTGTTACCTGGTGGCAAACCCAAGACCCTCCAGGTGAGGAATGAGGCCTTATCTCTGCTTCCCCTTTCACACCATAACATAGTGCTCCTGGCCCTCTGATTTGTTTTTTATCTGATGTGGGTGAATTTCAGGTATAAAGCTGGATAAATGCACTGAGGTTGTATTTCTGAAAGCTTTTCTTGGAGGTCTTCTGCACAGTCAAACAAGTTTGAGAAATCTGGGTGAAAGAAGGTTTCTTTATAGTGGGCTGTAAAGGGCTGTTCAGAGCCCCATGTAACTTAGAAATAGGGGCATGCGTACTGCATAGTGGTTTTTCAAATTTATCTAACTCCGGAATTCTTTTTTTCAGGAGGCACCTTTGGATACTGGGGTGTATTATACTAGGCCAGGGAAGGGGGTGGTGGAGTTTTGGTTTCAGTGGTTTTTGAGGTTTGTGGAGGGGCTATTTCTTGTCGTCAGTGGGTAACTGTGTAGTATTTCATGGAGCAGACGGCCAGTACTAACTACTCCATATGTCGTGATGTTTCCCATTTCTGTTGTTAGACCTTTCCGAAAGATGAACGAGAAAGGTGTCTTACTCTGGGATAAGATCCACAAGTTGCAGAAAGGCCAGATTTACAAGCAGGTATCTCATGACCGGTTTATCCTTTTTATTGCTTTGCTTTGTAACCAGTTATGATGCTAATAGCTGCCATTCATTGAGGCTGACTCTGTGCCTGCCACGGTTCTGAGTACTTCCCGGGAATTGACTGTTTCTAACTTGATGGTAAACTTAGGCTGAAGTCAATGTATTTTCAATATGCTAATATCTAAACTAACTCCAAATTGAACAGTTTTTAAAAACAAAATTTGAAGCATTACTTTCATAGTATATAAAATTTAAGATGACGGTAACAAACCTTAGATATTTCTCTTTAAAGAGCATTTAGTCATGGCATGTTATTCTCCCCAGTTAGTAATTATTTCCTGACTATATGTGTTTTATGCATAGTTTTAATGTATTTTGGTATTATATAAGGATCTCAGATATTTGAATGAATGATTGAATTGCTGACCATTATTATGTTACTGAAGTTAGTTTTTTTTAATTCATACTGATCCATTCTTGGTGAATTTGGCAATAAGTATATTTTCTAGGCCTTGAAACATTAGCTTTGTTACAGCCATTCCACTTTTAGCAAGTTAGCTTAAGAAAGTTAAGATGTAGCCAATAAAACTTTGCTACAAAAATGTTTATCACGAAGTTACTTACAAAATAGATAACGTGAATGTCCAACACCAGGGAGTGGTAAAATGGATCATAGTACTTCTTAGCTACTGTAGTTACCTGGCAGATTAAGACCAACATGGAAAGACAGTCACGGCATGGTTGATAGTATAAAAAGGTAGTTACCAAGAGATGTATATATTATGAATACTTCCTGAAAAGTACATTTGATGTAGAAGAAAGGCCTGGAAGATTTCCCACGAAGATACTTTTATCTTTATATTTTGACATTTAAAATAAGTTATAAACCGAAACAATTTTTTAAAGTTTTAAAAAAAATAGGTGTTTTGGACTGTGGGTTACATGGGCCTCTGTCATATGATACAATATCTCTATATTTTTCTCTTATTACAGGGTAATTTATATGAGTTTTTGAAGCTTACTGGTTGGAGAGGATCCAAAGTGTTATATTTTGGTGACCATATATACAGTGACCTGGCGGTGAGGAGCCTTTTTTTCTCTTTCTTTGCTGCGGGACGGACATGTTAGTCTCACTTATGAAGGGATTTCTCTTTTGTTTAAGGTCATTCTTATGCTTTCATAAAAACTAGGAATAAGCCACATTTTTTTATGTATTACTTTTTACAGGAAAGGATGGATAAGAGTCATGAGAAAGATCAATTTTTTTTTTCTTTTGAGACAGAGTCTCACTTTGTTGCCCAGGCTAGAGTGAGTACCGTGGCATCAGCCTAGCTCACAGCAACCTCAAACTCCTGGGCTCAAGCTATCCTGCTGCCTCAGCCTCCCGAGTAGCTGGGACTACAGGCATGCGCCACCATGCCTGGCTAATTTTCTCTCACTATATTAGTTGGCCAATTAATTTCTTTCTATTTATAGTAGAGACGGGGTCTCCCTCTTGCTCAGGCTGGTTTTGAACTCCTGACCTCGAGCAATTCGCCCGCCTCGGCCTTCCCACAGCACTAGGATTACAGGCGTGAGCCACCGTGCCCGGCCGAGAAAGATCAATTTTTGAGAAATCATAGAAATTAGTAATCTACTCAGAGTTCATCAGAACAATCTTGCCATTTAAATAATAAGAGATAAACACTATATTCTTTCCCTTTCCTTTTATCAATGCATAAAAAACATAAAATTTACTTGAAAGTTTGCCACCTTTGGGAATATTTAAGAGAATGTGCTGTAGCTTTTCATGCGTTATCAGAGAAAGAGAAATATTGAAAGGCTTAAAGAAACTGAACCAGTGAAGAAAGTAGACATCCTTACCTAGGGCTTAGGATTCTAGCTTTAGGTGAATAGGCCGATTGAATCTTTAAAACTGTAAACCAGCTGCTACTTCTTTCCTTAAAACTCTAAAGCCTGGCCGGGCGCGGTGGCTCACGCCTGTAATCCTGGCGCTCTGGGAGGCTGAGGCGGGTGGATTGCTCGAGGTCAGGAGTTCAGAACCAGCCTGAGCAAGAGTGAGACCCTGTCTCTACTATAAATAGAAAGAAATTAATTGGCCAACTAATATATATAGAAAAAATTAACGGGGCATGGTGGCACATGCCTGTAGTTCCAGCTACTTGGGAGGCTGAGGCAGAAGGATTGTTTGAGCCCAGGAGTTTGAGGTTGCTGTGAGCTAGGCTGACGCCATGGCACTCACTCTAGCCTGGGCAAAAAAGTGAGACTGTCTCAAAAAAAATAAACAACCTCTAAAGCCTTCCTTTCTCCCTCAGAGTGAAAGTCTGAGTTCCTATAAGTTTCCTGCTTGGTTTCCCCTTCCCAGCCCGCCTCTCTGAAGGGATCTCCTGCCTCTGCCCCTCTACTGCACTGCTCAGGGTTCAGACTTGTCCCTGCCTCCCAGCATATTCCTGCCCCAGGGCCTTTGCACTTGCTATTCTTTTAGTCAGAATCCTTCTGCTCCCACATATTTACATGCTTTCACCCTCCTTCCCTTCAGATCTCTGCTCACATGCCCCTGTCTTTGCCTGGTCTTCCTAAACACCCCAGATAAAATGGTAACTTCCCTGACCCCGTTCCTTCCCTTTTACTCTGCTTGATTTTTGTCCATTGTATTTCTCAGTCCCTACATTTACTTGCTTATTTGTTGTCTGTATTTTCCATCCGGGCAGAGTTTTCTCAGTGTTTGTCCATTACTTTATTCTCAGTATGTAGAACAGGGCCTGGAAATAGTAGTCCTTGATAAATAGTTGTCAAATGAGAAAATGAATGACCATCTAGTGTCATGACCATTTATCTCAGATTTTCCAGGATAGAACGGATACTAGATATTCTGGTCTGTTGTCACATCATGGGGTTACAATATTTGGAATGGAAAATGTGATCATGCATGCTTATGTCGTGTGGTCATTCCAAGTCTGAGATTCCATGGTCCACTATAACCCAGAGCGCCTGGCACCGAAGTCTGTGGGTGAATTGAATGAATGAAGGCCTTGGCTAGTGTTTAGGCTGAGCCTCTTTCTGCCCCTGACCTCATTGATTTTGCAGAGACCATGGTTAATGATTCCAGACCCTGTGTTTCTGCAGGGGTTTGTGAGTCACAGCAGTTATTTCCAGAACAGAAACTTTCTTGGGATAAAATGACCAAAGCCTGGGGCCAGACTGGTTTTAATTAAATATAATTCACTGAATTCAGCTTGGTTAATAACTAACCATTACAATCTAAAAAGTCATTAAATGAACGCTGCTTGTGTCTGGGAAAAGCAATGAGCCGGTGTAGATTCTGTTGAGACTAATGGTGACTTTCTGTGATCTCTGCAATCAGGATTTGACCCTAAAGCACGGCTGGAGGACTGGCGCAATTATCCCGGAGTTGAGATCTGAGCTCAAAATCATGAACACGGAGCAGTACATTCAAACCATGACCTGGCTGCAGACCTTGACCGGGTTACTGGAGCAGATGCAGGTGTGGGATGTTTTTTTGTCTCTCATTTTTTCTTTAAGCCTGAAGTTAGTCTGCTGGTCAACATTACTTCAAGTATTTCCTGTTTAATTGTTATAAAGTATGTGGTTTAAGTTGTCCTCAGTAGACTGTAGAATTGACTGCTAGGGTTATTTTGCCTTGAAGATAGTTTTGCCATTTTCTCTGAAGGCATCTTTAAAAATGCCCACCAGAGGCACTGCAAACTAGTGCAACCTCTGTGGAAAGCAATATGGGGATACCTTAAAGCGATACAAGTGGATCTACCATTTGATCCAGCAATCCCATTACTGGCCATCTACCCAAAAGAACAAAAGACATTCTGTAAAAAAAGACAACTGCACTTGAATGTTTATAGGAGCACAATTCAGAATTGCAAAGATGTGTAAACAACCCAAGTGCCCATCAGTACATGAGTAGATTAATAAAATGTGGTATATGTATACCATGGAGTACTACTCAGCTATAGGAAACAATGGTGATATGGCACCTCTTGTATTTTACTGGATAGAATTGGAACCCATTCTACTAAGTGAAGTATCCCAAGCATGGAAAAATAAGCACCACATGTACTCACCAGCAAATTGGTATTAACTGATCAACACCTAAGTGGACATATAGGAGTAACATTTATCGGGTGTCGGGCAGATGGAGGGGGGAGGAGGGGACGGGTATACACATACATAATGAGTGCGATGCGCACCATCTAGGGAATGGACATGCTTGAAGCTCTGACTCGGGAAGGAGGGCAAGGCAATATACGTAATCTAAACATTTGTACCGCCATAATATGCTGAAATAAAAAAAATGCCCCCCAGAGCGATTCAGAGAGTCTCTGTGGGGTCTGTGTAAATGCAGGTGTCGGCTGTGAGAACCCCGTGTCCTCACTCCACACTGAAGCCCTGTTAGGAGCTCTCCTGTGGGGGCGGCATTTGGGAAGCTCTGCCAGGGTTTGGGTCTAGTCCTCGTTCTGCCTGTAATCTGCTGTGGGACTTCTCTATTTCTGGGCCTCAGTTTCCCCATCTGTGAAAGGAAGGGCCCGGTGGAATGAATACCTCATTCCAGGCACCACGGCTTGCTGGGAAGAGTCTCAAAGCAAGAGTCAAGAGCCCTGGGTCCAGCCTCGATTTGATTTGGAGTTAATACCTACAGCTTGCCAGCTAACGGCAGTTCTGGGACAGTTACTTTTTTCTGTAAGTTAGGCAGCAAGTTCTGGACAGTTGGTGAGGAGTGTCGTTTTTATCGGTCATTTCCTGGCCTGTGGAAGCTGCCCTCTGTTGCAGCCATGACCCCCTTACTCCCCCAGCCCCCATTCCTTCGCAGTCTCACGTGGTACCCTGCTTTCTCGCTGCTCTAGTTTGCCCGGGCTGAGGCCATCGCCGCATGAGTGTGACTGTTAGGGTCAGGGCTTGGGACGCCCGCTCTCTTGGCTCGCACCCCTGCAGCGTGTGTCCTGGCCTGTTGTCCACGCCTGCCCGCTGGCTTTGGAAATGGGCAGGGCCCTGCCTTGCCCGCCCCAGCTGGCAGCCCCGCAGGAGTGGCTGGGCAATGAGCTCAGGCAGGGCTACAAGTGGCAGGCCACCGGGCACACGATCCAGCGCGTGGGGCCCCGCACGTCTCCCGGGCCAGTGTGTGTTGGCTACGTTGGTTCTTGGCACTTATCTGATGAGGACTTGCGGTTTCCCTTACTGTGCGTGCCTGTGAGATGACTTTCTAAAAATATAAGGCGTCAGTTCTGGATTAACGAAGCTTAGAGTCTGTGCGCATGTCATACAATACTAATAGGTACTACTGTTGTGCCAGACATGTGCTGAGTGCTTGCTGTATACACATTTAATAGTCACAGCTGTCCAGTCGGGTAGGGATATAGTTTTTCTTTTTAGAATAAGGAAACTGGGCTTTCGAGTGGTGCAGTCCCATATCTGAGGCCATAGAGTGAAAGAGCAAGACTTGAACCCAGGCTGTGCTTTTGAGCACTTCCCTGAAGTGCTGGTTCAGAGGTCTCGGGTGTAGCCAAAGACTTTACTTGTTGCTCTGTGACCCCAGCAGTGGTCATATGTACTAACACAACTGCATTGTAGATAGTGCCACTAAATATCTTAGCTTTGGGAACAGTTTTTTGTTTTCTTTCGTTTTCTCTGACCTGTATAAAAAGTTGGCAGTTAAGCAGTGTGTGTTTTAGAGAATGGAAGCGCTGAAAATATATCTGTTGACTTATAGAACTATATAAGGTATACAGTGAGGGAAGGAAGAAAAGGGAATTAACAATTTACCATGCCATTTTATAGGAGATAAAACTGAAAAGTGAGTTTTCCAGAATCACAAAGTTAGTGATTAGCGGAATCAAGCTGTTTGGAAGTGAAATGAGAACTTCCCGTGTTCTGGGCACCAAAGCCTTTACAATTCATTTCATTCTCACAGCAGCTCATTAGAGCAGGTACTAACGCATCACCCCTGTTTCACAGAGGAATAGCTTGAGGCCTAGAGGAGAAAATGACTCGCTCAAGAATGCCTTTCACAGCGTCCTGTCGGGTTCACTCGGCACAGAGGACTGTGGCTGATAATTTAAAAAAACATCCAAATGAATGTCACCCCTTTCTGTACTCTCTGTTTCCCTTCCCTGTGCCCTTTTCCTTAGTGTCCACCTGGAAAAGTCAGAGTTATTCCTTTGAGCCTGTGTCAGATGTTTCTAGAACTCCCCCTTGGGGATTATTTTCAGAGCATGTACCACATTACTTGGACTATTTTCTGAGGAGAAAAATTGGTCCTTTGAGATGGGGTTTGATTTTTTTGGAGCCAGAGTATCGTTTGGAATCAAGTCTAATGAATTAACTAGAAGTGTGTAATTTTTGGTTTTAAAGAAGTGACTGTAACAAAGGAAAGTAATTTTTGTTAGCTAGCCTTGATGTGCATTCCAGAATTTGGTTGCGGTTCACAGTGGTGGCTGATATTGGTAGCCTCTTCCCAGGTGGCCAGTCCCATGTGGAATTTTCTGATCTAGTTATATTATTTTGTAGAGCCTAAATTCTGTAGTGAATAATTTGTTGATTTGAAATGTGAAAATAAATTAAAAATAAGCTCATAGAACCTACATCAAAAGCTCCCAGCAGGGCTAGAGCGGTAGATTGGTACATAGCCAGTGGTTATTCAATGGTAGCTGTTTCCTGGTGGTGTAGCCAGTGGTATTAGGCCATAGATCCAAACTGCAGGCTCAGTTGAGACAGGGTTTTTCTCTGAGTGGCAGAGACCCTTAGTAGATGACCATTAGTAGTGTGCCGAGCAGATGTAATAAACAGAAGGGCCTTGGCTCGCATGTCAAAAGCAGATGGTTTGCTTGTTTGGTATTTTCCTCTGGGTTCTAAGGTTACCCCTGTGGTCATGAATTGCAGGGAGCCCCACCTGTCCTCTGCCATCATGTGCAACTCTAATTCTGGCTTTAGTGTTTCTCATTAGCCACAAGAACCTTGGAAAGAGACTTGTGAGATTCCATGTGTTAGGTTGTGGGGAATTGTCATTTTCTTTTTGTCTTTTGTTCACATTTTGGCCCACCAGAAGATTCTCTGCTTTTCTTTTTCATTGAGGTGTACTACCTTCATGCGTTTTACAAAAAAATCATTATTCTTTTCTCTTAAGCACTTAAAAAGGTAAAATATTGAAGAAAAAATTAAAACCATTTATAATTCTATCCTTGCACAAATTAAGAATTTTTAACATTAATTTCCAAATATATGCACTTATTTTTACATGCTTGCAGTTATACATGCTATTTCCACTTAATGTCATTGTGTTTATACACATATGTAGAATATGTATAATAGTCAGTATGTAATATGTATATATTTATATATGTAATACATACGTATCACATATATTACACACAAGTATTATACACATGTTTTGTGTGGATACATATGCATTATGTTTACATATAGTCTTCACTGATAGTTTAATAGATTCATAATATTCCATCTTCACTTGTTAAAGCACATATCCAATGCTGGACATTTAAAACTGTTTTTTTTTTAAGTGAAGAAGGCAGGATTTAAATTGGGAAGTCTGAAAGTGTATTATTTCATGCAATACTTCTGAGACTTAAAGGAATAAAGTTTCTCCGAGAAAAGCTGCCCATTAAAAAACTCTCATCACCTAAGGAGTTCATTTGGAAGTGAATCAGTTGCAGTAATTGGCTTGTGTCCTGCAGGTGCACAGGGACGCTGACTCGCAGCTGGTCTTGCAGGAGTGGAAAAAGGAGAGAAAGGAGATGAGGTAAGAGCGGCTTATTCTGAACGTGGTGGACCCCCCACCCTGTCCTGGGTGTGCTCAGCCCTCTCGCGTTCCCCAGGGCCAGCCTGAGGCATGCTCTCAAAACATCCTATTTTGGCTGCCAGGTGTGAATGTGCCTCCCTCAGTATCCAGAATCAGATACCTGCCATTAGTGACAGGTGACATTTCCTTGAGACCAGTTGTCACCTCTGTCCTTCCTCTGGCCTTGCCAGAAGGCCATGGGAGAGGGAGCCCTCCTCCTCATTGCTCCTCCCTACCTGTGTGACCCTCCCATTTGGGAGCTGGTGGCCCAGTTGCTGGTGATGCTGGCAGCGCAGTGTGGCTGTCGGGACGGTGTGGGAGGTGGGCTCTGAACCCACAGTGAATTCTTAGGGCTCCCACAAGAAGCCTGGTGCTTATTTGTAACCCTGGCTATTTCAAGAATGTGCACATAGTCGGGAAGCAGAGTGCTTTTTGGTAAAGAAAGCCTGCCTACTGTTAGAGACGTTTGGCAGAGACGTGTCTTAAGTGAGCCATTGCTCCAGAGGGGCTTTGTTGACAATCATGCTTCTCTAAGAAGGACGCTGTGCCTGTGGACACTGTGGCATAGGCATTTCTACCTACTCTGGGGTGCAGCCATCCTGAGGTGTGGAAATAGTGGTTGCTGGGTTCTGGCCGCTTTAAGCAGGGCACCTGACTCAAGCGTGTGTGTGTGTGTGTGTGTGTATGTGTGTGTGTGTGTGTGTTGGGAGGGGACAATGAGCCCATTCCTCAGGTTCTGCAGAAGCCAGGGCTGCACTGCGTTCAGTCCTTCCTCCTCTCTCTCACGGTGTTGGCACTCTAAGTCTTACTCTACCTACTACCAGCTAGTGGCTTTCATCACACAGCTTTATCACACAGAGTAAATGATTATATTTTTGCTTCTTTTGTAACTGTTTTATCAACAGTCAAATGGTGTCTTTCAGTTTTTTGGGTTTTTTTTTTGAGACAGAGTCTTGCTTTGTTGTCCAGGCTAGAGTGAGTGCTGTGGCATTAGCCTAGCTCACAGCAACCTCAAACTCCTGGGCTCAAGCGATCCTCCTGCCTCAGCCTCCTGAGTAGCTGGGACTACAGGCATGTGCCACCATGCCTGGCCAATTTTTTCTATATATATTAGTTGTCCAATTAATTTCTTTCTATTTATAGTAGAGATGGGGGTCTCGCTCTTGCTCAGGCTGGTTTCAAACTCCTGAGCAGTCCGCCCACCTCGGCCTCCCAGAGTGCTAGGATTACAGGAGCCACTGCGCCCAGCCAGTGTCTGTCAGTTTTGCTAGCACATTCTGTGTGTAGGGGTCCCAGCCATCAGAGGGTGTGCACATGCTGCGTGTGTGTGGTAGGGATGGTGACTTAGACGCGTAAACATGGGCTTCATCCTGGGGTGGGCGACAGCCTTGGCTGCCAGGAGCCGGGAGGTGTTGCAAACTGTGATGGATGAGGGAGATTAACAGCCCTTTAATAAAACAATCCTCTTACCTTACTCAAGTCTCACAGTAATCTTGTAATAAAAGGGAGGGCCTTGATCCCATTCTGAGAACATTTACATCTCTCTGCACTGTCAGAAGCAGCTCCCACACTGCGGGCTTTGGTTTGGGAAAGGGGGGTGTGCGTATTTGGAGGGGCGTGCAATTGAAAGTAGAGCCTGAGACGCTATTCTCTCTGCTGACATGAATGAGCAATGTGATCAGAGTCCTTTGATAGATGGATGGACAGACTTTTCTTGATTAGAAGTCGGGGCTGCTCTAGGCTAATGTTTTTCTCACATGAATATCCTGTTTTTAAAATAAAAGTGTTTTGATTGAAGTGGTTTTACAGCCTTTTTGAATCATTCTCTGTTGCTTTATTATTATTATTATTATTATTGCTTCTTCAGAGAGATGACCAAAAACTTCTTCAACGCCCAGTTTGGAAGCTTGTTCCGCACAGACCAGAACCCGACCTACTTCCTGAGGCGCCTGTCGCGCTTCGCCGACATCTACATGGCGTCTCTGAGCTGCCTCTTGAACTACGACGTCAGCCACACTTTCTACCCCCGGAGGACTCCCCTGCAGCACGAGCTGCCCGCGTGGTCCGACATGCCCTCCACCTTCGGAGCCCCCCGCCTGCAGGAGGCCCAGGCCGAGTAGCTGAGGCCCCTCCAGGAAAAAGCCAGAAACAGCGACGCCCCAGGTTGGGTGGGCATGGCGGCCTTGACTTTGTGTGGGTCTGAGTGTCGCTTTCAGAAAAGATCCCTTAGGGACAGTACTGCTCCCAGGTTGCTAAGACAAGCGCTGGCAGCCCGCCTGTCCTCGCCCTGTCCACGCAGGGCTGAGGGGCAAGCTTCCTACCGAACCTCTGATTCCGCCTGTTTTGTTTACCAAGGTCCTGGAACTGACGTCGGTTTTTCCGGGATAGGAGAGAACTCTCACACCGTCTCTATTCCAGCGGGTCAAGTTTTGAAACGATGCTTGACTCCTCCGTGGAACATGTCCTGAGCGTGCACGGGCAGTGCAGAGGGAGCTGCTCAGTGACGTGCACGGAGAAACTGCTCGCATCATTGGGTACTAAGGCTCTGGCTCCTTCCAGGGAGGCTGAGCTGTCTTTGGTGCAGCCCAGCCTCCCTGGAAGGACTTACATGAGAGAACAAGAGAAGTTGCAACCCTCGGCCGTTTCATCTCCAGTGTGTGCTTCCTGCGTCCTGCCTACGCTGGGGAAGGACACAGGTGCAAAAAATGATGGGCGGGTTCATGCTTTTCCCCAGAGAAGGAGGGGGAGGAGATACCAGCTCTGGTTAAAAATGCTTTCCTCCAGCCGAACAGTCTTCGGTAGGATAAGGGTGCAAGAAACCAGTGGGTTCGAAGAAGCAGAGCATCTGCGCTGGGTCTCCAGGGAGCATATTAAACCCCGAAACGCCGCCAGAGTGTCGGTTTAATGTGCTCATTGGAGGAAAGAAAATGAAACAGGAGAAAGTGTCCTTGTGATGAAAAGCCCACCGTGTCATCCACTGGGTTGAGTTGGAGTCTTGTTAAAACATGTGCATTATCAGAACCGGTCCTTGGCTGGAGAGACACAAACAAGGTGCTGGCTTCTCACTGATGGATTACCAACTGCGGTGATCATCTCTGGGTATGGGAGGAGGGAGGTGGCCTTTGCAGCTCAGCTATAGCTCCAACTCTCTGCTCCCCGCTAGATTTCTTTCCTGCCGTGTTTTTTGTGGCTATTTGGGAGCTTGGGTGGTTTTCTTTAGGTGTCTAAGGTGGTAGAGGATGAAGGACATTGAAGCAAGCTAAGAAAGAGGTAGAAATAATCTAGTTAACTGAGCTTTTCTTATTTCTTTCTAAGGGCAGGGCAAATGGCATATATATAGTTTTTTTTTTTTTGGTGGGGGAGGGAAGAATCCTTTATTATGTCTGCATTTACAATATCTTTCAATATAAAGTGCATATTTACTGCACTGTCTGAGTGCTATGGGAATGTCTGCTGTTGTTATGGTGCTGCTAATAATATTTTAAGTTGCATATGCTGCATAGATACTTCTGTTCAGATTAGCCTAATCTAGTACTGCTAAGACTCATTTTAAGCTTTAGTGGTAATGTGGCATATATTCTTGAATCTAAAGAAGGGCAGGAACATGAAGGGGCTTGGGGAGAGTGCTTGCTCGCTCTGCATTTTTATTGTAGTGAACGTATCATGACCAGCGATTGATGAAATGCTGGCCTGGCATTTCATAGGCTATTTCTGCCACATTGCAGAAATTAAGTGAGTTATATAGCATCCTTTGTAATGATGCTTATTATAATGGGATTTTACCTATGATGTTTTGCTATGTTTAACTGTAATGGTGAAGGTGACCCTTTAGACCTAATTAGGCTCCTTTTTTTCTTTCTTCTGCATTTTATTATAAGCACAGTAAGGCACAGTAGTCTGTTCCTTTTCGGAATGCGGTAGGCATTCTCTTATTGTTTGCTTGCTTCTAGGCATTGTCACCATCAGAGTGACCAGAGGCTGGCATTCAATGGGTACAGGTGATACCTAGTTTCAGGTCCTAAAAGGATGCACTGGTGCTCTTGGCTTAGAGTGTCTGCTTTGGAGAAGCGAGTGAGGAAGCAGGTATTGTTTAAAAAAATGTCTTTTTTTTTTTTTTTTTTTTTTTTATCTAATCAGATACTGGCTGTTTACTAGAGCCTAGTAACAGGGTGTTTACTCCAGAATGAAGTAGAACTACTTTTAAAGCCTGCTTTCATGAATGTTTTAGGTGACCCAAGCCTTGGAGGAGAAATACCTTTTCTGGGAATGAATGATAAATTTTACAATTATTCCCACTGATGAGGGTTTTGGTCTCTGGGATGTTGAGCCGGGCAGTTTTGAGATCTGCCGTGTGGCAGCAGCCTGGTACCTGTCACTCCAGAGCCCACCGACCGTGTGCCTGGAGGGCTGCAAACCCAGGTCCTGGGGGTGACATAGCACAGCCATCTCCACGGGAAGGACAGAGGCATTTCCCTACTTCTTCGTTATTCATACTTGTCCCCACTCAGTTGAGGTAGATTTTTAACTTGTCACTGTCAGGGCTCTCAGCTGGGACTTGGCACACAGCACTGGGCATTTCATTCTTTCCAGTTTGTTCTCTTGTGTGCATGTTGATGAAAGCATATTGGTACTAGGGAAGTGAATCTGTTTTCTATCATTAAAAAAAAAACAATTTGTAAAGCAGTCAGAATAACTTTCATTTGAACATTTAAAACATTGCTATTTTTTTTGTTTTTGTTTTTTAATATTGCTTAGACTTATTTTCTAAGAATTACGTGAACACAAAATCACAGTTTGGGGCAGTCCATGCCAGCTATGCTAGTCCAGTGGGACTCAGTACCCGTAGCAGGTCCCATTGGAAGGGACTTGCACAAGTGATTTTATGTGGTTTTTAAAATATTTTAGGTGTTTGACTTAGAGCTCACACTTTCCTCCTAACATATCCCCTCTCTTTTTAATTTTTAAAAACTTTTCATCTTTAGCTCTATTTTCTGCTGTCACCATTGATATCATGTAACATAAACTGCCTGCAACTGACTTGGGCATATCTCAGACAAAATCACTAGTTGCTTTGAATGCTTTGGGCCTCTTAATTATTGCAAAGGAGAAATGAAAAGTAATCTTGCCTCCTAGCTAATTTAGCCTCGGGTGATTGAAATGGCTTTTCCTCCCTCTTCCTCTCAAAAGGCCTTTAATGCAGAAGTGGATGTGCTCAGTATTGGAATTCCATTTTTCCAAATGCTCATTTTCTGCCAAACACCCACTTGAGGCCCTTGTCTAGAATGCTCTGGGGCTAAATTTGGCCAGAGGTGGGATTCCTTGATTACTCTGTTCCAACTAATAGAGAGCCTGTTTTACCCTCTTAATATTGATTTCCTTTTATACCAGTTTATTTATTTTTTGCCTTAGCATTTTGGAGCTTCGCTCAAAGTTCAGCTCACCTTGACACTACCAGTGAGTGGGTGCAGGGAAGGGAAGGGAGTGAATTTCCTCTAATACAGGGTCAGTAAACTTTTCCTGTAAAGGGCCAGATAAGAAATGTGTTTGGCTTTGCAGGCCGTTGGCTGTTGCTTCTACGCTAGGAATGGGCATGGCTGTGTCCCATTATGACCCGATTTACCAAAATAGTCCTTGGGCTAGAGTTGGCCCTCAGGCTGTGGCTTGCTGGCCTCTGTTCTAAATGGATGGTGTTGGTGGCAGTGGCAAGATTCCCTTGCAGAGAGCATGCTGGTGACTGACCTCGTAGGTGGGTTGCAGATAGGAGAAAGAAGCTCTGGATAAGTGTGCCACGTTCCTTCCGGCTGCTTTCTGGGCACATTTACGTGTATGGCCAGTGTGGGTACTTGAGCTGCAGGCTTGAGTATTAATTGAATATACCTCTCGTTGCACTGCATTTTTTTTTTTGTAAGTGTGCTAGTATCGGGTGCTGGGCTCAGCTGCCCGGCTGACCCTTGGGACTGAAGGACTTATTCCCCCACTGCTGGGGGTGCTGCCGGCTGGCCTTTCACTGCTGTTACCCTCTTTGGGAGTTTCTCCTGCTGAAGACCCCTGCCTGCCCGGGTCCCACCCCACCTTCCTGCTGGTAACCCTTGACTGCTTCGTGGAGAGGTACAAAGGCGTGGCCTCCCCACCCGAACTCTGGCGAACCCTGTGGGGCCATCCCAGCTCCAGAGCTCCCGAGGCGCCTCTCCCACTGGTCTGGCCTGGCCCACAGCACTCCCTGGTAAGCTTACCTGCATGCCAGTCTCTGTCTCGGCGTCTGCTTTCGGGGAACCGACCTGTGACAGTGCTTCTGTACTTTTCTAGTCCTGCAGGCTTGAACCCTGACTTAGAAGACTGTTTTCTAATTGTTTAATGGAATGACAAATTACGCCTGTATGATATCAGGCATAATACATGCAAATTAGGTAGACTTAAGTATTTATTCTAATGTGAATTTGCTATTTATTCTAAATGTTGATTTTACGTGTTCTGTGCTGTTGAACTTATTGCCAAATAAAAATTTGAATTGTATCATCTGGGTTATTGTCTGTCATCTGTCTTGAGTGCTTCAAGTCAGTGGCAAAACCATGTTAAATTCTAATGAACCCACAGTGTTGTTTTCTAAACGTGCCTTTTTTCTGGGACTTGAGGTTATTTCTACTAAAAGAAATGAATGGAGTCTTGGATTAAAAAATTTCTAATGGCCCCCAAGAAGGATATTCCTGAGAGAAGAGGTCAAAGGTTACAGATTCTCAGCACACCACCCTCAGCAAGCACCCCTCTCCCCTTGCTTCTAGAGCCTGAAGCCTGTGTAGATAAGCCCAGATCAAAGGTCGGGTGAGCACAGCCCCAGGTGGGCAGCGGGTGGCCCATAATGCGCCACCACCTGCACTCCCTCCTCAAGAACAAGGAGAAGCTGGTGGTTCACATGTTTGTTTGTCATCAAATTATTGGGAAAGCTGGAAATGTTTTAAGGAAAGGAAATATGGAATTAGGAGTGTTATGAAGTCAATTCAGTACTGGGTTTTGGATAAACTTACAAATAGTTTGAAGACCTTATTTTTTTTTTAACTTTTTAAGTGTGTGTGTTTAATATGTTTAAATCCTTGACATCTCATTTTGCTGATACCTTTATCTCATTCACTCCTCCTGTGGATATTTTGGTTTTTTTCTCCTTTTAATCACTTGCCTTTTTGTGCCTGTAATGGTGGGTGTTGGTGGACTCACTATCAGATCTGCCCCACATTCTTTTTGGGGCAGTTTCCTGGAAACTTGGCACTGTTCCCATCACAGTGTGTCACCCAAGAGGAAGTGACAAGCTGCTCCTCTGACAGAAACGGGGCCTGCTTCTCTTTCTCGGAGTGGTGAACGAGCTTACGAGACACTCTGGGGCTTCCAGAACTTTGGACTTGGCTCAGCAGAAATCCTGATGATGTGGAATGAAGTTATTTGGGCTGTGAGGGCAACTGAGAGGGGCGTCTGAGATCCTCCCAACCCAGTTTTTCCCTCCGTCCCCAGCCCCGGCCAGTACTGACCCCGAGGGACAACTTGGAACATGTGGATGGGTGGGTGGGAGGTTGATTGGTGTCGCAGGGACAGGAAGGCACTTCGGACATTTTGAAGGCAAGGACCAGGCATGTCAGACTTCCTGCGCTATGTGGGTGTGACAAGGCCACTTTATGTCCTGAGGAAATCTGCTGTAGGCTGACTGGAGCCCTCAGAAGGCAGAGAGGGAAGACACCAGGTCTTTGGTGGTGTCACTGAGCCGCAGAATGGAATCAACCCTGAAACCTCCCTCCTCTGGGTCTTCCAGGCCCTTTAGCCAATAAATCCCAATTGCTGTTTAAGCTAATTTGGAGTTGGGTCTTTGAGTCCTTGCTCATTGCTACAGTAATGCCTGCGTAAGGCTGATATTTGATCCTAACGGCCGTGGGAGGCTGGTTTCCGGTTTCCCCTTAACTGCGTAGTGAGGAAGCCTGCACGTGGACCTGTTTCTTCTGATTATAAACCTCAGGAGTTTCTAAGAAGGTACACACACATCGCCACCCCCCCCCCCAACTCTTGTCTGGGCCTCAGAGCTAGGATCTCAGCCTTACTGAGAAAGGGATTAACAGGAGCTCGAGATAACAGAAAAATATATGGGTCTGGACAGCACGAACAGGAGGCTTTGTTGACTGTTTCTCTCTTTATAAACCTGTGGCTTGGCTGGGCTCTGATATAATTTTCTTTGTATACAGATGCAAACTAGGCGGGTTGTGGTGGCTCACGCCTGTAATCCTAGCACTCTGGGAGGCCAAGGCGGGGCGGATCGTTTGAGCTGAGGAGTTCGAGACCAGCCTGAGCAAGAGCAAGACCCTGTCTACTAAACTAGAAAGAAATTAGCTGGACAACTAAAAATAAAAATTATATATATATATATATAAAATTAGCCAGGGATGATGTCACATGCTATAGTCCTAGCTGCTCAGGAGGCTGAGGCAGGAGGATCGCTTGAGCCCAGGAGTTTGAGGTTGCTGTGAGCTAGGCTGATGCTAGGGCAATCTATCCTGGGCAACAGAGTGAGACTCTGTCTCAGAAAAAAAACAAAAACAAAAAACAACCTAATGCTAAATTCCTTGGGATGTTTCTGCATTCTTAGTGGGCCCTGACCTATCCACCGTCCTATATAGGGTGCATGTCCAGGGAAACGGCCTGGACTCTGCCTTCCACAATTGCTCACATCTGAAGGACTTGATTTTCTTCGTACACTTTAATTGGAGCAAGCTGTTTCCAGTTGGGGACACCCAGAATACTTTTATCACCCCTAGAGAAACCCTGTGTCCATTAGCAGCAACTCTACTTCTGTCTCTATTGCCTATTTGACATTTCATATAAATGGAATCATATAATATGTGGTCCTTTGTGACTAGCTTGTTTCACTTAACATACTTTTTAAATTATTTTTTTATGAAGGGGTGGGAGGTTGTGAGGAGGGGGCTCAGTTTCCTTTTTTTTTTTTTTTTTTTTTGTTGTTGTTGTTGTTGTTGAGACAGTCTCACTCTGCCACCCTGAGTAGAGTGCAGTAGCGTCATTGTAGTCCACTGCGACCTCAAACTCTTGGGCTCTGAGCTATCCTCCTGCCTCAGCCTCCCAAGTAGCTGAGACTACAGGTATACACTATGACACCCAGCTGGTTTTTTTTCCCCTTGTTTTTGGTAGAGACAGTGGTGTTACTCTTGCTCAGGCTGGTCTCGAACTTCTGAGCTCAAGCAATCCTCCCACCTCGGCCTCTCAGAGTGCTAGGATTTACAGGTGTGAGCCTCTGCACCCGGCTCACTTAACATAATGTTTTTAAGGTTCATCCAAATTATTGCATGTACCAGTAGTTCAAATTTTTTAGGGTTGAATAATATTCCACTGTGTGGAATACCACAGTTTAGTCATTCATTCATCAGTTGATGGACATTTGGATTGTTTCCAAATTTCAGCTATTACAAATAATGCTGCTCTCAACATTCATGTCTGCATTTTTGGATGGATGTTTTCATTTCTCTTAGGTATATAAGTGGGACTTCCGGGTCACAGGGTAACTCTGTTTAACTTTTTGAGGAACTGCTAAACTGTTTCCTACAGCAGCTGCACCATTTTACATTCCCGCCAGCAATGTCCTAGGGTTCCGTTTTCCCCAATATCCTCTCTACTACATGCTATTGTCTTCTTTTATTACAGCCATCCTAGTGGGTGTGAAGGGGCATCTCGCTGTGGTTATCATGTCTTCTTAAAGTAAACACACAAGCAAACAAGAGTGAATCAAGAAAAAGAAGAATTCATGAGGCTGATGAGGGCTAACTGAAAAGGCCCTAATCAGCCCGGTTAAAGTAGATTTCGCCTTCAAAGTCCAACCGGTCCTGTTTGGGTGAAGTCCCAAAACACTAGATCTGTTCCACTGACTTCACTTCTGTTCCATAAACATTTATTGAGCACGTTTCGGGTGCCAGGCACTGGGCTAGGGGCTGAGATACAAAGATGAGCGAGGCAAGGCCCTGCCTCCGGGAGCTTACAATCTAACAAGGAAGGAAGACAAGATCACCGTTACCCACGGGGTGGGGCAGAATGTGGCCAGGTGCCACCTGAAGGTACAAAGGAAGAACAGCGGAGGGTCGGGGGAGGGTGGACCTAGTAACATGGCCCCTCACCCACAGAAACAGAACTCCCAGATGAACCAAAGAGATGAGGTACGGCTTCTGAGTGCTTCACACTTTTAAACTTCAGAGGACCTTACGTTGCCCAAAGGCAGCTGGTGCTGAGGATTCACAGTGGACGGCGGGTTTGAGGAGGCCCCGATGGCGGTGGGTGGCGGGCGACTTCTACGTCCAAGCCCTCACAGCGCCCCCAGGGGGTCACTGCTTTCGAGCTGCTGCTCGTCGCAGTCCTGGGAAAGAGAGAGGTGTGAACCACGCCGCGAGAGCCCAAGTCGTCTTGTTGTCGCGTCCTTCCAGGACGAACGTTTCTCGTGGCCACTGGTGTGAGGCCTGAGACACGGCTCTCCCCGAGTGCCCTGTGCACATGCGTGTGGTGGGCGCATTCGCTCACCATACACGCCGCCGCCTCGTGTCGGCGGGCGGGATGGTCTGGTGGGTAGGACCCCCGGTCTGGGGCCCCATTCGGTCTCTGCTGCTTGAAGCTGGGTGGCCCTGGACAAGCCACCCCAACTCTGCAGCTTCCTCATCTACCAAGGGTCATAACAGTGTTTGCCTCACGGGGAGGTGTGAGGGTTAAATGAGACAGGGCGTTTGGCAAGGTATAAGCACCCCACAAAGGGTGGCATATCAATATTATAAAAACTCCTTTCAGGTTGGAAATTCATCCTGAATCAGGGGTGGCTCTTGTGTGTCTGAGACAGTGGAATCAGAGGCCACGCGCCAGAGGCGGCCACGCCAAGCCTCCTGCTGTCGTTAGCTCTGATCAGCACTGAGGCTGTGGGAATTAGCATCATGGATGCTAGAAATGGTTTCTCCTGGGTGGAACTAGTGGTGTTGGGGGTGTCTGCACTGGCTGCAGATACTGTATCACACCCCCAGCCCCAGTGTAAAAGGCACACAAATGTACCACGTCACTGTACCTCAGGCTTGGGATTCTTGTTGCCAGAATGTTTTTGCCACCTGGCCTGAACAGACAGTTTAGCTGAATCCCGAGTCTAGGTTACTCCCTCACCTGCCTCCGGTGAAGCTTTTGTGCACGGTGCTGACAGAGACCCAGAAGAGGACAGATGCTTGGGAAGGCACGGGCGCTTTGAAGAGGATGTATGCATTTTCCCCCTTGCTTTGTGATGAAGTTGATCTCAACCATGCTTACAGGAATAAGCGCCTCATAGTTAATAAATGCAATTTAGCTGAACTTACCCTTGACATGTGGACCAGAAACTTTTACATGGTTAGGGTAAAAGACAAGATGCGATTTGCAATCTAGTTATTTTTAAATCTATTGTAACTATATTAAATCTGCTACCACAGGCACAAAGGACCACAAGATATTTACTTTTGGTTTACTTCAGA